AATATCTTCACCATTAACCACACGACGATCTTTTATATACAGGGTTGTCCAAAAAAGTGAACCCCTGCAACAGGCTATGTTTTCCTAATACTTGCACGAATAGACTCATATTATCACATGTTGTAGAGAAAGGTCTAAAGTTTTGGTTGATGCCATAATTTATTATCAGACTTAAATTTTGAAGAAATTACAAGAGTTTAGCAAACATGCCTGAAAATTAGATATCGTGCAAAATTTTACCAATGTGATTCACAGAAATTGTTGAAACATATTGGATGATCTTAAACAGCTTTCAGATAGAGATACAAGTTTAAAACCCTACTATATGACAAAAGGGACACTATTTAAGCAGAAAACACATTTCACACTTTCATTGATCATTTTGAAGCAGTTTTAACCGTTCAACAGTTCAGGGGTATGTTACCTACACCAACAGTTAGAGGACATGGAGGAGGGCCTCTCGTGGAAGAAAGTTGCCCCCTGTGAACAGGAATCTGAGAAGCCCTTCATCAAATATCTTGTGTTGAAGGTGTTGAAGGGTTGAAGAATCGCGGATATTGAAAATCACATTTTATCTATTTTCAGCAATATTTGGTTAGCATAATTTCTGCAAATTTCAAGACTAAGAAAAATGTATGGTGCCAACATAAATTTTAGACCTTCCTCTACAACATGTGAAAATATAAAAGAATTCCTGCAAGTAATAAGGGAAATATGGCCCGTTGCAGGGGTTCACTTTTTTTGGACCACCCTGTATACCACGCACAATTTCTTGTGTTTTGGACTTCTGATATCAAATGTGTAATGTTTTCAGTTTTCCCACCTGGAGTCTTATATTGGCTGGAATTGGACTGCTCTCAATAGTGTGCTGTATATTCGCATGTTGTTGCTGCTGTTGCCGTGAATGCCGTTGCTATACTTACCTCTGGGGTACTTACATAAACGTGAGAAGATAATGTTTTGTCTGGAAGCTTCCAACTCGATACTGGATACTAAGCAATGCATATAAAATCGAAACGTCAACTTGTGCGTATAAATCGCCCTATACAAATGCATGTAGTTTTCTCACAAAAACAATCGTCCAGTTACATATTTATCTATATATATATATTTTATTGACTCAATAATGTCATTATAAATGCCATATCAGTCCAGTGTACAGAACATACCATCGTGTGTCAAAACCACATAACAAAATATCAAGGTTTCTCAAATCCGAACATAAGTGATGTTATAAGTAAATTCAAATAAAAGACATGCATATTCACATAATTTTATGGGAAAGAACCCTTGGAGCAGCTGATCTGGCTCAAATGCAGCAAGTGAGCAGCACAACATTGCTCAAGCCTGTACGCAAGGAGGATTGGCTCCCAGTACTATCGAAACTCGATATTTTCCAACAATGAAAATGTCGAAATGTCGTTATTTTCTGAAATTATAACCGACATTAAATTCAAAATAAACAGTCCAAAATAATCAAACCAAAATGTCGACCAATTCTTGTGAGCTTTTGAATTTTAGGAAATAAGACCAAAGTTCACGATTCAAATGTTGTAGTGAACAAAATGGCGGCTGTTTGAATTCGAATTTTGAATCACGACATCTCCATATATGGGACAGAATATCGATGTTGCACTCTGGGAGCCAATCCTCCTTTCGCTGTACGTGTACATTTATCGCAAAGAAGAGCTAGGAATCCCATATGACATTTATTCCAGCCATGACCTGACAATGTTTGGTTGTACAGTCATGCTTCATGACATATGTATTGAACATAAACACCATGTTTTAGTATCATGTATTATTATATGACTGTCTTATTCCTCGCTCTCTGATTGGTCCATGTCCTACAAGTGACTAAAAAATAATAAGCAAGCATTTCATTCTATGGAGGGCAATACCTGTTCATCGTTCAATAATTTTTGCAGTATGTATTGCCCGCAGCCCGAACATAGAATGAAATATTTGTTTTATTATATCATTGCTAGACATTCTCTACGATCACTTTGCATTTCAAACAAATATAGAATCTTTGTTTTAACCTGTGAACATTTATTTTAATCAATTAATATATCATAAACCCATCAGTTGACATAATCACGTACATATCATTGTATAGTACACTTTTATTTTCGCACAGTTGTCAGAATTACCGGGCAGGCAATACGCCGGGCAATACGTCGTTTCAATTATCCTAAAATTGAGGGATCGGAGCTGTGAAATACGCTATGGTATTTTTGATCACATGGTAATAAATCAGCCAATCAAATCACACGAATTCTAGCAATGATATACTGCTCAATTCAAAATGGCCGCCAGTCGTAAAATGTAATCTATGATTATTCAAATACTGCTTAACGGATTTGGTTCAAATTTTATATGATAATGCCATGGGAAAGCTTTACTCAAGATGAGATTTTCAAGATGGTGGCTGAATTTCAAAATGGCCATCATTTTTCGTAAAAAACGTAATCTCTGATAACGCAAATACCAGTGAACGGATTTTGGTTCAAAATACACTGATGCCTAGGAACATAGTAGCTCTGTTCGAAAGCGAATATTCAAGATGACGGTTGAATTTCAAATTGGCCGTCGTAAAACCGCAATCTTCGATAACTCAAATAACAATTTACGGAATTGGTTTAAATTTTATATGTTGATCCAAGGCACAAAGGAGCCCTACTTAAGAAGACTTTTTAAGATGGCCACTGAATTTCAGAATGGCGGCCATTTTCCATAATAAAACGTTATCTTTGATAATTCAAATACATTTGTATGGTTTTGGTTGAAGTCTTATATGCTGATATGCTCGGTCACTAATTATCAAAAATATGCTTTGTGCGGTGTGATTCCCTACTCCGTGGAGTTGCTGTTTTTCTAGTTTAACTGTGACACTTTCACAAGAATGGAATATCGTGGAATATCACTTGTGAAAGATGCACAGGTATTCACCTCACTTGAAATAAATATTCGTATAATATTAAGCTTATATGCCACATAATCATTCGTTTTTCAAAATGTTGGATTTCAATTTGATACTGCAAAATTTCGGGGGAAATTGATGAAATGCACTATTTTAAATGATAAACATTTTGTAAAGATTTCAATCTCAATGTAAAAAAGTGAGTGTTACAAATAGTGATAAGGAGGAGGGAAAGTATCGCAACAGATTTTGGACAGTAAATATTAGATCTGATTGGTTAAAAGCAGTGAAAAATACATTAAATAAGTGTGGTTTGACATTTATATGGAACGATTGTACAAATATAAATTTTGGCTGGTTTTGTGATATGGTGAAACAGAAGCTCACTGATCATTATGTACTGAAGTGGAAAGCTGATGTACATAGCAGTCCAAAGGGTTATAATTATAGAATTTTTAAAAGTGCTTTTGAATAAGAAAGGTATTTTAATGCGAGTTTACCAAATTGTATTTTGAATATTTTATGTAAGTTTAGGACAGGAAATCATAAGCTTCCTATTGAAAGAGGTCGGTATAAATGTATAGAACGTATGAATAGATTTTGTGATTTATGTGAATCAGAAAAGTTGGGAGATGAATACCATTTTATTATGGAATGTACATCTCTTCAGCATTTAAGAATTCAATTTTTGCCTAGATATTTCTGTAATAATGTTAATGTTAATACCTTGAAGTTTGGTCAACTAATGTTAATTAAACTGGCACATTTTATTAAGGAGGCAAATGTATTTATGACTAAGCATCATTAGTGGTAAATCCTGTTTTTATTTAAAAAGTGTTTAGATATAGTGTAGAGATTGGTTGTTATTGTGTATAAGTTGAAAATTTCAAAATTATGTTTCTAATGTGATATAAGGTAGATGATATGGGTTGGTTTCCAATAGACTGGTTGGAATTGTTTTTATAACATAATAAGGGACTGTATATATGTTTGTTACATTATTTTTTATTACTGTTGCTAAAATACTGTGTGTACTGCTTGAGACTCTAATACCCTAAATTGGGTGAAGAGGAATAAATAAATCTTAAATCTTAAAGTAATATGTTGGATTATACTGTTATATATATGTTGGGAAGATACAAACAATCCACCCACATGTTTTTCTAAAATGTTGTCCTGATTTTCAACCCCTTCCACCCCTGCTTTTTTCAATTTTTGTTGCATCAATATGTTGCGTTTTGACATACAATTAACTCCTTCGGGGGTTTTAAAGATATCCATTATGGGTGACCAAAATTAAGCTGAAAACAATGGATCGCATGAGTTTTTCCTGTGGGAAAATAATTTGGGAAATATTGTTTTCCTCTTTATCTAAAAGAAATTACGTATTCCTTTAAACATATTCCTAACATATGCACCTGTTTTAATCCTCAGAAAATAGCCAAAATCTAACCAATGACTGTCCGAAATCTGTTGCGATACTTTCCGTCCTCCTTTAAAGTATGCAAAATTTCATGAGCAAACTCCTGTTGAATATTTTTCAATAGTATAGCAAAGTATACGACTGAGTAAGAATTGAGTGTACATGTAAATCTGTTTAATTTGAAATTCAAATAGAGGGTGAAAAATGGTCGTATTCTTCGTTTTTTCATAAATCAAATCCATTTATGTTTTAGTGTTTCCCAATGGATTGTAGTCGACCATTCTCACGGTGACTATCCAGAGCCCCGTCGAGCAAGTTCCCCCAGACATCGCGAGCAATGAGCTCATGTTAGAAGCGGGGCCTTGAGAGATATGATAAAATATAGTTATAGTTGAACAACGTCGTTGCCCTGCCAATTAAAATAGTCATTGTAGTATGAAATAAAGATGTACTGAGTTTCACTTACTAAAGTTTCCTAGAAAAATTTTATATTTCAATTTTATCATATCAAGGCCCCGCTTCCAACGTGAGCTCATTGCTCGCGATGTCAGCGGGGCCTGTATAGTCCCCGTGATTTTATTGTGGAATTTCTTCAACGTGCCTATAATCAATCGACACAGAGCGCAGGAATGCACTGAACGAACTGCTGCGTTGCCCCTAGTCACCGGAAGTCTAAGTGCACATTGCACTTCTGCGAAGTCTATTGTATATACATTGTGTGATATATAAAATACAAATGTGAAAAATATATGTAACGCACAGAGATCCCAGATTGTAGATACAACTTCCTACCCCGGATTGTCGTATGCGGATATTCATCCAAGATGGCAAAAAGGATTCTACCATTTGCTTTGATAATAGCAGGATTATGTAAGAGTGGTAAGTTGCTTAGTAAACTAGACTCATGAAAAAAAATTAATCAAATCACTCAAAATCTCACGTACAGGTCTTAGGGTCTGCGACACAGGTCAATATACTTCTCCACGCTTTATAAATGTGGTCAGGCCTAGAAAAGTAGAAATTCATATTTCAACGTATTAGACGGAATTTATGAATTTGTGTCCTACTTTATACTTTCATTGTACACATTTATGTAGGCGCATTAATATTAAATATTAATACGTCTCTGGTGCTTTATTTATATATCTAAGATTTGTCCTCTGTAATTTAATACCAAGGTGCCAATAGCAACTTATAAGTTTCTTAAGACTATTCTAAGAATATAATGAATGTGTATGTGAGAATGGAATGTCTGAATTTGATAGGAGTGAATGAATGTTTAGTAATATTGTACAAATATGTTATTTGGGTGATATTGTACAAATATGTTATTCTCCTATAGTCATTTATTTTAATAATATAAATAAAAAACCAGGCCCAAAAACCACTGGCGGTTTAATAATAGCCTTTCAAAGGACATTGATTTTAAACATGAACTTGGGCAAAATATTCCCAAATGGTTAAATAAAGTTACAGAAATTGAAGATCAAAGAGTTGTCTGGGATTTTATTAAATACAAAATACGACATTTTACCATTGCTTATTTAAAGAAGAGGGCAAAGGCTAGAAAGAAATGTGACCTAGAAAACAAACTTAATACGCCAGAGCAATTTAGATAAAAATCCAAATGACATATTAGAAATTTAAATGCATATTCAGATATTACAAATGCCAATTAGAGCTTGAGACTCATTTTGACTATGTAACACAAGGTGAGAGAATTCGATCAAGATCTCAAGATTTTGTTGAAGGGGAGAAAGGCTCAAAATATTTTCTTCAACTCGAGAAACAAAATGCTGCAAAAAGTAACATAACAAAATTAAAAAACGCAAATTGGGCTAATAACTTAAGATTTTAAAACAATTCAAAATAAAATCAAGGAATTTTATAAACAGCTTTATTCAAAATCAAAAGCAAATGCACATAATAAAAATCCAATATTATTCTTAGAAAATAATAATCACTGTTCCACAGCTGGATGACTCTAACTGCAGTTAGCGTCATTCAAGATGGTTGCCTAAATTCTTTCGTTTACGACAAACCTCCGACTTCAGCTAAACTAAACTGAATCTTGATCCCAAAAGTTTCGCCATGCAAACTAATAAAACAATGGTTGTAAAAAGAACACAAATAAAAGCCCAAACACCCGCAATATTAGAGAGTTTGAAAGAAACTGGCTTCACTTAGAATGACTCTAACTGAAGTTGAGGATGACAGCTTCAGTTAGAGTCATTCTAAGTGAAGCCGTTTTCAAATTCACCTATATCGCGGTTGTTAGAGCATTTATCTGTTGTTGTCTGTATACTGTATAAAAAGACTCTTATGGACACCCTGTATATATCTGATTAGATTATTGTGGAGTGTATAAGCTGCTACAGTTGTATCGACATCAGGTCCGATAGCCTCTTATCAACTATTGGACCAACAGACCAAAATTGTCAAAACAGTCCAAGCAAAAGGAAGCAATGTCAGATTGGTGAAGTCTGTGGATATGTTTATGGAAATGTCGACGTGGCAGTCAATTCTTCAGGTAAGGATCTTTGTAAACGTTCATATCTCGATACGAAATGATTCAATGTTTGTCAATACTTTTCTTAAAAATAAACATCCGAACACTCAATTGCCTTTGTGTATGGCATGATGATAAGAGTACGGTTTTTAAAGTCAAGTGCAGACAAGTGAGCAAGGAGACCAAGTTCTCATATACTTTTGAAATGTTGATAAAGGACGAACCATTCTAGATGAGGTGTTGAGTAAGATAAGAACACTTAATCACTGTTGAGATATTGATCAAGGACGACCAATTCTAGAATTATATTGTTGTGGTGTTGAGTAAGAACAACAAACCTTTCTAAAATTATACAATTGAGGTGTTGGGCAAGGACGAGCTATACTAGAATTATACTGTTCTGCAATGCCACTATTAAAGTCCTTCTAGAATAATTGTGTTGAGTTATTAAACAAGGCCACTAAGACCCTTTAGAAATATATTGTTTCGAGGTTGTATTAACCTCTTGACTACCTGGAGTGACGAGATTTCTCGTCACCTCAGAAATGGCCTTGAAACGCAGAGTGCGAGACAATCCGTTACAAAATCGTTCACTAAAATTGCTCTCATTTGAACTGTTTTCACCCAAAGTTACACAAAAATTGTTTTAAAATGTGTAGAAATGATCTCTGTCGTCTGATTTTAAATTGGTCATTGTAAACCACGCCTACTTCCACCTCCGTCCTTCTTCGATGTAACAGAGTATCACTATCAGTAAACACTTAACTGTTTTACAGGGACTATTTCTAATGAGACTCTCACCATACACGCGAGGGATTGTATGGTAGTCCTCGCCAACACGACTATGAATTGTCACAAGTACAAGGGCCATACTGACATCTTAAATGAACTGTTGTCTTTCATTCCTGGTCTGACTGATGTAAAACTCGATGGAAATATGTGTTTCTGTAATAGTGATGCTTGTAGGCCTGAAACCAATCGAGCTTGTTCAGGCGTTCAAATACTCGGAATATGGTGAGTATAACTTGCTGTGGTGAATAATGGGGAGGTTAAGATCGCACTATTTTGGAGAACGCCAGTGTGTGAAACGTGTAAAATTACGGTCCCGTAATGGAGTATCTACACCTCGGTGGCCTGTATCCTACTCAATTTGGGACCCCGACCTAGAAGTGACACTTTCAAAGAAAATTGAATTTTCAAACTTGATAAACACTTTTTTCTAGATGTAATTTTACATGATTGCAGACTTCAAATATGGTATCCCTTAGTAGTAGTATATTAAGAAAAAGGACGCTATTTTACATTAACGTGCCATAGTACAGGTCAAAACAGAAGTCTGTTACCTTTGTTCAAAAAATGTCTAAAAATGCAGCATGTTTTGTCACTTCCTGTTTTGTCATTTCCTGTTGAGTACCACGGCACCTTAACATTAAGAGTTACAGTAAATAATTAATGTTGCCTATTTTTCAGTATTCCCGTCTGGGGTTTTGTATTGGCTGGAATAATGCTGCTATTGTTGCTGGGCTGTGTATGTTGTTGCTGCTGCTGCCGAACATGCAGTGCCAATGCTTACATAAGTTTGTAATAGGACTCAAGTGATGTATTTAAGCCCATAGTTCCATGATCAATTGGATTATCTCATAATTCGTGTTTAATCCACCCATTAACAAATTTTAATAAGCGAGTATGCTGCCAATATTTTGTTTTTCGTCAGGACCCAATATAAATCTTTATTTCTAAAAAACATGTTTTGTAAACATATGACATTTTATCGAGTGGAATTTTTCGTGGGCCAAATTGCCGACATGTCAAACATTTAGAACTGTAATCATGCTGAATGTTTATCTTTAGCTGCTATAGAAGTGAAGCCAATCTTGAATGATGGACTTGGCCGGGAAAACTAATTTGAATATTGCTTATCACGGATGAACTAAAACATATATCATGTACATAATGGTTCTGGCTACGGGCCTGCTATTTCACAGCATAAACAGGGTTAGCCTTATTGGTAAAATATTTGACAATTAACTTCCAAAACAACTGTTCATGCTTCTTACCTTTTGCAATGCTCAATTATAATTTTGTATAATTCACAATTTCAAACTATTTAAGAGAAATAACGCATTATGCAATATTATACATATATTTGTCCCTTAATGATAACCTTTGCAGCGCCCCCTACGTTAACACGGCCATCTTGTCGTATGCTTATGACAAGGTCACCACCTCTCTTAGAGCATTGGCGGGCATATAGTTCTGTCTTTCCAAGTTGTTTTTCCCAGTATGGACCGAGCACAGTGTGTGCTGACCCTGTCACTGGATCTTCATTGATTCCAACCCAAGGGGCAAAATACCTGGATATGAAGTCATATTGTTGACCTTTGTGGTCTATGGCTCCATTTTTGGCACTTCCTTTTAATGTTACACCAACACCTTTCACAACTCCAGTTGTGTGCAATTCCAACATTTTCTCGAAATTGGGAGTGATGTTTTCCAAGGCTGTTCTTTGCGTGTCGTCTCTTAGTCTGACCAGGAGTTTCTTAGTAGTTGCTGAATATTGGATATCTTTTACGACATCAATGAGATCACCAATCACTGCTCTGGTTAGATCTTAAACAACAAGTTTGTCAATTAATGCAATTTGCACATTATGCCTTGGTCACATTTGCTCCGATTTTCACTACAAAATACTCAATCGACCGGGCGCCGTAGTGAAAATCGGAGCAAATGTGACCAAGGCATTAGAGAAGGGGAAAATAAATACTTTGATTATATTTACAAACTTCGCACGGGGTCTTTAAGTGAATACTCTGAAACATACATGTGACATTGTTACATCTAACAACCTTGTTTGAAATGTTAAGTGTTATTGGGTTTCATTCAGTTGACAGTATACTGTGCAACGTTAAGGCATTAATATGGAACATGTCACCACCTACCATTTGTTACAGACGCTAACCGCCGAATACCGAGCGCCGAACACCAAGCGCCGAACAACGTTCGCAATTATTTCCACTTGTGGTGGTCACACAAAAATCATGTATCAAATAATACAGGGTGACCCAAGATGATGCAAACAATCTTATTTCGAAATAACATTCTCAGTTGTAAGGAAATGCGTATATTTTGCATCAATGTATTTGAGGTTTGGAGAAACATGCTTTTCATATAGTATTTACCAAACTTTTCCAAGAAGTGAAGCTGAAATATTGAGATAACATGTTCGAAGACAATCAAGAGCTCATTCAAATACTGACAAAAATCAGAAACGGTAACCCCATATTTTAACTTGCTCTTTCTATGTCTAACACCCATACATCAAAACTGGGAAAATTATCACAAAGTAAAGGTTTGTATTTTCGGTTCCGTGTAAAAGGGTAGGAAGTCCTATCAAATTATGATCCTACTCTCCATTGATTTATATGGTGACCTCTTTCCCTTATTATCTAATACACAATCAGGGCCAGCACGGGCCGTTAAGAAGGGGGAGCATGATGCCTGGAAAACCATAATTTCTTTTAATTTACACCGGGTTTCGGGTTATACATTACATTTTATAACGAACCTGAATAGTTCACCTCAGTAGGTTGTGGTGGATTTAGTGGAAGATCTAGCATAATTTTATTCCCATCACGTGTTGCAAACAGATCCCCACTCAATGTCTTAAAGCCTAGCTTCTGTGACGTATTTCCTTCACACATAAAGAGGGCAGACGCGGATGCCAAAGTAGCATGACCACACAGTGGCACCTCATTGGTAGGCGTGAACCAACGTAGACCAAAATAGCTAGAAATAGATACAAAATGAAACAAATCTAATGAGACTTTCAATTTTTACCGTTTCATACTTGGCAATCTATTTTTGGACATATATCACGAGTGATCTTAATAAAAATAGAGTTTTTGCAATAAAACAGTTCTGAGTTTCCTTCATTATTATTCAGGGGTGTATCCAGCTTTCAGTCAAGGGGGGATGCGACCAATAATGTATATGCCGGTCAATAGGCTAAAGTTTATATCTTGGTATGGTATTATAATATTAGCCATAATCCTTCTGAAATCACTGCTAAAAATGTGAGACTCTATGCTATGATTATAACAATAGTGGAATAAACTCTATTGATATTATCGATTGCAGTGCAGTATTCTCAGTGGTATGGATCAACAATTGAACATATAATATAATATGCGTGGTTAGCACCATATACTGACCTTGAACTCTTGAAAGAATCCGAAGGCGTGATTTTCGTGATGAAAGCAGTCTCAGATATGTTCATTTCTGCAGCGATTCTTTGTCTTATTTCGTCTGTTAGCACCTGATCGCCATTAGTTTCCTCCAGGCATACTGCAGCAGAATTACCAGCAAATGGGATTTCAGTAAAGGCATCCACTGTGTACAGTGGGAATGAGATCGGAACATTTTCTCTAATTTTCGAGGGCGCAGCCATTTTTTATGATTGTGAATACCCGGATGTTACCTACTTATCTATTGGGCGAAAATACCATACCATACATGTTACTGTACATTTAGTAGAATGACCTCCAATCAGTTCTTTTCTAAATCGTTGAGTTAAGTTATCGAGTCCTACGTACTACGTTGTTAAAGTACTTAGTACTGTTGTATGAGCACTTGATTCACAATATTTACCACTCAACCCTCTTTGTTAAAATAATTATTTTCAATACAGTAGTTTGATCTTGCTTTTTAAAAATAACCGACATCAACATTGTAGGCTATATGAATAAAAAAAGATAAACATGTTTTATGCTTATATTCATAATTGATTTTTCTTCAAGATAATACTAAAACATATATATTTATCTAAAACCCTTTAAACCCATGCAACGTATGGGCGAATGTATCCCTCATCTGACAAATTTTACAAACATTTTATTGTGTACTAAGTCATATGAACACTGTTCTCTACCACTTATTGTAAATAGTCAGGTGGCCGAGTGGTCTAAGGCGCCAGACTCAGATATCCTTCCGCACAACGTATGGGCGAGTGTTCTGGTCCACGAATGCGGGCGTGGGTTAGAATCCCACATCTGACATATTTTACAAACATTTTATTGTGTACTAAGTCATTTGAACACTGTTCTCTACTTCATATTGTCTAGTCAGGTTGGCCGAGTGGTCTAAGGCGCCAGACTCAAGGTATCCTTCCGTACAACGTATGGGCGAGTGTTCTGGTCCACGAATGTGGGCGTGGGTTCGAATCCCACATCTGACAAATTTTACAAAATTTTTATTGTGTACTAAGTCATATGAACACTGTTCTTTACCACTTATTGTATCTAATCAGGCTGGCCGAGTGGTCTAAGGCGCCAGACTCAAGGTATCCTTCCGTACAACGTATGGGCGAGTGTTCTGGTCCACGAATGTGGGCGTGGGTCTGAATCCCACATTTGACAAATTTTACAAACATTTTATTGTGTACTAAGTCATATGAACACTGTTTTCTACCACTTATTGTATCTAGTCAGGTTGGCCGAGTGGTCTAAGGCGTCAGACTTAAGGTATCCTTCCGTACAACGTATCTGCGAGTGTTCTGGTCCACGAATGTGGGCGTGGGTTCGAATCCCACATCTGACAAATTTTACAAACATTTTATTGTGTACTAAGTCATATGAACACTGTTCTCTACCACTTATTGTATCTAGTCAGGTTGGCCGAGTGGTCTAAGGCGCCAGACTCAAGGTATCCTTCCGTACAACGTATCGGAGAGTGTTCTGGTCCACGAATGTGGGCGTGGGTTCGAATCCCACATCTGACAAATTTTACAAACATTTTATTGTGTATTAAGTCATATGAACACTGTTCTTTACCACTTATTGTATCTAATCAGGCTGGCCGAGTGGTCTATGGCGCCAGACTCAAGGTATCCTTCCGTACAACGTATGGGCGAGTGTTCTGGTCCACGAATGTGGGCGTGGGTTCGAATCCCACATCTGACAAATTTTACAAACATTTTATTGTGTACTAAGTCATATGAACACTGTTCTCTACTACTTATCGTATCTAGTAAGGTGGCCGAGTGGTCTAAGGCGCCAGACTCAAGGTGTCCTTCCGTACAACGTATGGGCGAGTGTTCTGGTCCACGAATGCGGGCGTGGGTTCGAATCCCACATCTGACAAATTATAAACATTTTTATTGTGTACTAAGTCATATGAACACTGTTCTCTACCACTTATTTAGGTTTAGGCTAAGGTTTTCCCAAATCTGACAAATTGATAAAAAATCTGATAAAAGAAACCTATTCATTAGCAATTTAATCTCTTCATGTGACTTCGTTGCCCTTGTAGAGGATAGAGGATTACCCCATTACAGGATTACAGGATCACAGTGGTCACTCCATGCATGAAGGTGATTTTCATTTGTTTATGATTTGAAATTGCTTGGTTATTTTGTGGATAGTATTGTTTGTTGCAATTTATTGCAAAAATGCTCATTTCTATTGCATTGGCATAGACTTTAGCTTATGTACGGGGAAAGGCCCATGATTTGTTTTAAAGTATTGTTTCATCACATGTTTTTCATGATTGGGAATCCTATTTAGAGGAGAACGTGGGGATACAAAAAGTGTGTGTCCTTGAAACGTGACGATACGTTCTAGTCTCTAAAAGAGTAACAACCAGAGGGCAAACAATTTTATCGTGTAATAAAGCTAAGAAAAATATAGATAGATAAATAGATGGTGTTCAAGTCAAGTTTTTATTTATACATATTCATAAACACATATACAATGATGACAAGGGACCTTGGCATTGTAGTCTCAGATAATACGCAATTTGATGAGTAAATTGTTATGTCGCTTACTACTATACAATTGTGATTGAAATAAAAATACCGATTTCTCATTAAAATAGATAGCGCTGCTTTCTTTGTCCATACATGATATACTAACTGATATCTTGTGTTTTGTACGTGTTGCTGTGATACGCGCATGCAGCCATCCATGTCGAATCATATGAACAGTCATGATCAGTGGACGATTCTGACCGAATTTCTTCGTTGTCATGTCAGGAAATCACTGCGCTTCAATTATGAGACGGGAAGAGCCCTGTTCCTCCGTTCGTTCATACTAAAGTCTCTACTCTCTTCAAATTTACACAAAGCTTATCTGAAATAAGAAAATATGAATAATAAGTCTCAATTATAAATCCGTTGAATACTATAAGTTAGCCAACGGTATATTCCATAACGGTGGTTCATAGTAAAGGATCAATTTTGCTATAGCTTACCCGTATTGTTTGGACCCTTATTGCGCTCTTGTTGAGGGACGGTTGTCACATATACATTCAACTCGTTCTCCACAAATGGAATGTCCTCTGGGTGATTGTGATTTGCGCATTGCTCACGCTGGCGTCTTTTACCTCGCTGTTTCAGGATCCCAACTTTGTAACCCGCAACTAGAAGAGCACCAACGATGCCTAGTGCAATCGCAACACCAATTACAGCTGGTATCGCGTAACTTTGAAAGTCGTTTTTCTCTGCGATTGCGGGTACTGGTGGAATGAGTGTAGTGTTTATACAGTTCACGTAGTCCTCACAATGTTTTAGTACATCTTTGTCGTTCCAACACAGTTTCTCATGATTTGGATTTTTCGGACCACATACATTGCTGCAGAATTCTCTGTATAATTTACCAGCATGTCCTTCTCTGGGAAAACGGAAATCGAACTGTCCGCAATCCTGGATAGACGCAGCAGAAACGTTAATCGGTGCGAAACATAACGCAAGAGAAACAATTAATCTTGTGATATTCACCAGAGCAGCTGCCATTTTAGTAAATCTGAAAGTATAGCCTAAGACTTTTGTTAAGAATTGAGACTTAAATAAAAGTAATACAATAAATTCTGATGGACGTGATTGAAATTTATTAAGAAAGTATAATATTAAATTATGAAAGTAATATTAAATCATGAAATATCTATCTGCGATTATTGTATGTAAAATACCGAAGTGTTCCAATTATTTAAGTTTTACTCATGTTTCAAGCATTTGTTTGCGTTTGTGTTTTTCTTGAAGACGCGTCGATAAATTTTAAACTGTAAGTTTTTGAGCATTTTTTCTTCATGGGTCGTATTTGAAGTAAAGATAAGAAAACTTCAATACACGTGAAATACGACGACCTGCACAAGGTGCACATGTCCCAGTGAACAAGTTCTCAAAGAGAAGTCTTGCCAATTTCTATAGTTCATTATGTAAATAAATAATTCTGTCATTCAGTCATGAGATAACATTCCTTCCTATTCCTTACTCTCATATTACACAAACAATGAAATAAAAACGTTTTTTAGCTTTAATTCAAAAGCGAAGACACATTTTTAGGCATACCCTACATGTAGAATATGAATTATTTATTTTTAATGCTTCTGGTGTAAAACTACCTTTTCACCTTTTAACTACCTTTTTTAAAATTAGTTCTGAAAATTCATGACAATTTAAATAACTATAAAATATACTGTATAAGTGGTGTTTAATCCGAGTGGTTAATTTGCCGAACGGTCAAATTTAATCTTTTTCCTAATTTAAATTTTCCTAATGACAAGAAACTTCCCATTGGATAACATTATGAAGATAATATTTCCGACATTTAATTTTCCGAACCGGGCAAAAATTAGGCAATAGACAAATTAAATGATAGGTAAAATTACCACTTATACAGTAGTGCCTTTACGATACCAATGAACTGAGATAAATTACTGGTGCTATTGTATATGAAATAAATGAAAATTGAAATTGGAATTAAAATACATACTTACACTAGCTTAATATCACTCTAAAGTTTATTGGTATCCGCTGTTCAAACGTTTTGTCTTTCGCAAATATTTAAATCTTTTTTGGCAACATTTCAAACTAGTATATCAAAAATTCATTTCGATCAGCAGAGTACAATCGGTTCTAAAATTATGGAATACACCTACAAAATATGCAGGGGCGGATCTAGGATTGTGTTAGGGGGGCGGGGGTGGGCGTTTGATAATAACTTTGAGCGCAGCGAACGAGCGCGAGAAGAGGGGGTCTTGGCGCCCCCCCCCCAAAAAAACACTGCGAAATTTGAATTTCCGTTGGTGCATTCAGGCAAATTTCAGAGTGGACAACGGTCAGTTGGATTCCTATATGGTCACGTAAGCCTTATATGGATCCCGATATGGATCTAGTACATGGGTACCACGTGATCGAATATGAAGGCTGAACTTTGGGAGATGCCCCCCCCCCTGGCTACTGCGCAGCGCGTCTGAAATGGCTGCTACTTTCAAGATGGCGGCCATTTTCTCAATATATCAAAACTGACATGTACTTGCATGCATTTCAACATACCTGTAAATTCACAAGCACCTTGAGTTTTCCTCGTTATGTAAAAACAGATGGTAGAGGAACTTTTAATCCTTAATCAGATATCTTTTTTATTATTTACAAATGATGGCATGTCGGACTTGTTTCATTTCACTTTTCCAAGATAAATCTCATATTCACTACTCGAACCTCAAAGATTTTTTTCAAGAATGATACAGACTTAATACTAACTTCATTGTTTGTATGAATACTTTTTGTCACACCTTTAAGCCTGGATCCAAATTAGTTGCGATTTATTACAGTGCTTATGATTGAGCTCTGTATCACTACTGTAGCTGAAAATTGAACACACGATTGTTCCTTAAATTAAAATTAATGTCAACATAATCAGGGGAACAACAGGGCTAAGGATCTTTCTATTTAACGGTTTTCTCAGATTGAGCATGTTTTCGTCGTGAATGGGATTCTATGTGCATAGTTAAGTTACATGTATTTAAAACCACAGGAAAACCCTGATGCTTAAGATATTTATTTATTTATTTATTCCTCGGACATAATGTCAACAATGGCTATATACACTTCTTTCTGGGTGTCATAATTTCTATTAACATACTGAACAACGTATGATTTAATTAAATCGGTTGTCTCTTTTCTGTCTCTTTTCTTTTTTATAAAACAACTACAATACTGCAGTTCTATAGGCCATCGTAGCCTTATCAAACAACACAACAACTATGAGATCTACAGTCCGCAATCCACAGGAGGATGTTGACACCCAGAGGCCTTATTCATCACGTGACCAACAATGTTTTTAAACGTCCTGTATTTACTACCAGTGTGCATGCGATTCTGAATATCACACATATACAGAGTAAATCCTCAATAAAAGGAAATACATCAATATTTATCAGAATTTCGATATTGTATATATTATAAGGTTCACAGATTATAAGGTCAATCATTATATGACCAATTAGAAATAATACAAACTAGCAGGACCATTATGTGAGTGTATTGCAATTCTCCTTAGCGTGCGAAGGTCTATTTGAAATTTCTAGAATTGACTGAATTATTTTACCAGCTGAGGTAAGTCTATGCATTTATTTATATTTCTGAAAAAATAAAAATAGCAATTTTAGTGATGCTGAAGATCAAAGCGGACCGCTTGGGGGCTACAAACATTTATTAACAAATATAATAAATTTCAATATAATCTTTATTCAAAAGCCTAAACCGTACATGTTCGTACAATCAAATAATAAAATCCTCAGACGCTCCGAGTACTGACTTAATATCAACAGCAACAGTAAGTCCACTTATACCGGTGAATGCTAAAAATATATCAATTGTCATACATTTAGGGAATGTTGTCCTAGTTAGTATTTGATATCTACCCGATGCCATGCTAGCAGTTTATTAATGATATTCTATAGTTTCGAAAGTATTCATTTCATAAGTTTTTGATCTTCAATCTTCAGGATTTTTAACGCCGAGGCCACATAAATCAAATATGAATAAGAAATCACTAATATAGTATATACATATGTATATAATTCAATTCCATTCATTTCATAATTTCTTACATACTTCATACACCATGCCGCTAAACGCCCATGGGCATATGTTGTGGTGTAGCAGAAATTTACACTACAGTACTACAGTATATCTAGACTGCATTTAAAAGAAAAGCATATTCATTGTTATTTACCTTTAACTTGAATATGTACATTGTAGAAAATATAGAAAACATACATAAATACATTATTCAACTTCATTACACGGTGGTGTAAAAAACAAATTAAACAAAGTATTTGGTTCTAATATCTCCAGACAAGATAGAAATTATCTGTATCATCTTTACAAGACATACTATCTCTAGTAGAATTGTCTCATTAATCGATATAAGTCTTAAATAATATATCATGATATAAGTCTATATTATAAAGCATTTTCTTCTTCAAGCATTGTAATCTTTCTTGGACCGTCGTTGTCGTATTAACCAGTACACAGTTCACCTATAAAATATCAACTAAATTGTATTTTATATTACAATTATTAGAATAACATATTTAAAACAGTTAAGAGTTAAATGTTGCTCTCGAAATATCATCGATTCTTTATATTCAGAGTAAATGCACCTAAATAAGTGAGTGAAGTTTAAAATTGAAATACAGGGTGTCCTATAAACTCCGTTCTCATCAAAATCCTGTGACTGGACCTCCTTTGAAAATTTGAAAATACAGGGTGTTCTGTTCCTTACATGAAAATATTTAATGCCAAATCAACAGTCATAACATTGACTCTCAACAACTGAAAAATTAGGTGTATACTTTTTATAAAAAGCTCATTAAAATAATAATACATTTGTTTTTTGTTAAATACTTGTATTTGCACCTTTTTCATGTTGCTCCGGTTCAACAGGTCTGGTAGTTTGTCCATTCATTAAAGCTACTTCTGCTGCTGGTTGGTTGGGAACTGCTTCCCTTTCTTGGGCTGTACGTTCATATCTTCGTCGTATCCTAGCGATAATATCAAACTTGTACGCAGCAGTCAATGTTGCAATGCCGAAGACAGCAACAATCGCTAGAAGTGTAGGAACGCCATATTTTGTGAACTTGTTTACTGTGTCATGTTGGGGTTCTGGCGTTTGATTAATACAGTCTACGTATTTCCCGCAATGTTTTAGGACGTTTTTATCGCTCCAACAAAGAGCGTCATATTTTGGGTTACGCCTGGGTGAACAAATGTTACTGCAGAATTCTCTGTATGTATAACCCGGTTGGCCCTCTCTCGTGAAGCGAATATCAAATTTACTACAGTCTGTGGTTGGAGCGGAGTAAACAGGTATTGATAGTAAATAAACCCCAACTGATACGTTGAAAATGTATTCAAGGTTAACACAGTCCATGATTGAAATGTGCATTCTGAAAAATACGAACAATCGATTTCAGTATAAACTAATTATTTAATACACAAAAAGATTTTTTCCTGGGGGTCATTAACAGAAACTTCGTAAAGTTACGAATTCGAGAATCTATCTTAAAAATAAAATTTGTAAAAATTTACGGATTCTTAGCGCTAATAGTCTCTGCTATACGGGTATTATCTAATTCCTTAATTCCACTGTAAACAATTAAATGTCGAACACGTTGTCTATCTTAAAATGAATTTAAAAAAGTAAGCATGAAAAAATAAAAAGCTCGAAAATGTGTCTCTGTCTCTTGTAATTTTAAGACATCGATCCACTTTTATTTCCTCTTATTAGCATATTGCTCATCTCTGTTTTTGTTAAAGTGTTCAATTTAAATGCCATCATAATACGTTTATTTTACCTTTTCCACATGAGATTATTATTCGCAGCCTCTGTTGAATCGATCAGTATGCTTACAGTTGTGTAAAAAACTGCGGAATAACAACTTCCGTTCTAGGCTTTTTTTATAATCTATAATACGACACCTATTGCGTAAATAAACTTCTAGTTTTTACGTATTCAAAACAAAGATCTCCTCGGGATTTCTATTGCTAACATAAATCCATTGTAAATACCTGGCGATTTTAGTTATAAATTAATTATGAATGGGTCCTTGAGTGAGTATGTAGTGTCAAACTAACTTCCCTCTGTTCTTGTTTATCGTTTAAAAATCTTTTGAGTCATTTGAGTTTTTTGCCGGAATTAAAACATGCTAACATTAACTTACGTATGACTGTATAAATATGGTTACGATTATTAGTTGATTAGATTATGATTAATCATATATATAATACATTGATAAATGAATTAAATTCTAATTGGTATACATTCACAGTCATCGATGCCACAATTCAACATATAATTTATATCCTAAACCAATTGTGAGAATGTCCTTTTGGGACACCCTTTACTTCGGAGTGTAATTCCAAGTAGGAAGACATCTTGCTCAAATATAGACACGGAGGTTGAACGTTCAATGTTTGATAAGGGTTCGCGTTTCAGTATATTGAACTTACAAATATTTCAACTTGTCAAGGCTATGATGCTTCCTTTATACGATCCCCTGAATCTGGATAGATTTCTGACGATCGCCTACTTTAAAATCAGAATTGTTGTTTTTAAACAATTAACAATGTCATTTGTTCATGTATTTTGTTCATGTCTATGAGTAAATATGATCGGCAATTTAATTTCGTCATTGTTCGAGCACGTTTTCTTCATGAATGGAATTTGAAAAGTGAACATTTTTATCAAGACCACTTATCTCAAATTTTGAAAACTATATCTTGGCGGGTCTTTAGGAATTCTATAAAATTTGAATCTTCGTGCGCCATTAATTTAATCACTCTACTCTCAATAAATGTTTTCCATTGCCATTCATCGGATTTCATCTTGAACGGATTAAAATATATACGTCCTCTTTCTATTATATTCTATTTATAAAAAATGTAGGCGTGACACTTTACAAGAACATATGAAATGTTAAGAAATAACACTACTTTTGTACACCGGTGTAACAGATTAGGCTGTCACCTGGTGATCATTGTGATCTACGAAATGCTCTACACTCGGACCCCGATTCCCGGGGTTTAATTTGTAATGAGTGGATATGATAATTAAATACAAAGTAGGCTATATCATACAATACATATCAAGCAATTCATACGTACGATAAAACAATTGACGATCGATGGATGAATCTATAGTCGGCATTAAATGCCAAATTGCCCACCTCTAATCCTCATAAATTAAATTTTAGTAAAACATTAAACCCTTAAAAATAAGTTCTGATCTCGTTATCAACGGTCAATAGCAAAGTACGCGGCATATAAATATAGATATCGAGTCAAACCGCTTTCATTTTTCTGATAATCATAAGGTAAGTTCATGTTTTATATGCTCTTTTATTAGAAAATTGAGTCAAAAATATAATGACACGATCCGTTTTTGGCGTTTCAGACGGGCGGACTATTTTAAAAGTAGTTAATAAAAATAAAATGTCCTTTTTAAACAATGGAAAGTGGACGGGAAATGTTTTATTTGCTTTTACGTAAAGACAATATGCTATAATTAGAAAAAGGCTCATAAAATGTACTTATTGTCATCCTTAACTTCTATTTAAGCAATATGGCCATCTTATCAAAATCCGAGTAGGGACCACCTGAGCCGAGTTAGCTTTTTTCTGATTCTGTTATAAGCGCACGAATCGTACCTTCCCATCATTCTTGAAGGTTCCCATCATTCTTGAAGGTTCTCATCATTCTTGATTTGGTTATATTTGACTATGTTTATGATATGATGCTTTTAAATTCTCAGATTGATAAAAATATAGTGCTCACGGGGGATACACTATTGCCACATTCACGTTACTCTGCATGATTCGGTATCTGAATGCCTACATGAATGATGGGTAGTGTAGTAATCTCCCAACCCCATTTATGGTAGCAGTAAAATAGTTTGCACATGATAAAACTGTTGCTCATAAATATCATTAAATGGCTATGCCTGTGAATCACAGACGCGCCCAATGTCAAGTGTTAGCGACTCATTTTAATATAAAAACTGGCATAGGTAAGTGTTATTTGTGAATTTTGTTTTTTTCTAAAAGTGATCAAACTTTAGTTTAAGCTTGATTTGAGTCGATATACACTGGGTCACTGGTGCAATACATTTTCTTTCTTTACTTCTTTCTTTCTTTACTTCTTTCTTTCTACCTTTATTTCTTTCTTTCGTTTTTCTTTCTTTTTTTAGGAAACATAAAGCAAGAACCTGAAAATTTTTGTAAACATAAACCTCTCAAAGCACTTCAAGTTAAAATTGAATTTTTATTATAAAGCTCTAAAATATGAAAATACAAAAGGTTCAACCTATCAACACACTGCAGTATTTGTTCGGACTTATTCTACATTGTCAATATGCGTATGGGGGGGGGGGGGGTCAATGCTTAAAGTGTCTCTCGGCCTTCTTTTGTGCCAGCGTTGTAGTTTTGAAATTTGTCGGTATCCCTACTAACTGGGACACAACTCACCTTGAATGCAAAAACATTGAAATAGTTGAAACGTAAAAGTGTTGAAGATGTAAAACCTAAATTACAGGGCGTTCCGAAAGTTCTTTTGTCGATAGGGAGTTTTAAGCTTGCAATGTTTTTCACAACCCAAACGCGAACGGAAAATATTTAATCGATTCATTTGTATGGGCGATTGGTCATACGTATAGGTTGGTGTTTCGACTTTATATGCAAGCATAAACTCCCTATTATTTCAGATGGACGTTGACATGTTCAAATTGAGATTACAAGGTGATCAAAAAGTATGTATAATTTAATATGAATAGTGTCTCCAAAAAACGTATTCAAATTATATGGTGAAAATCAATGGTTATATTTAGTGTTGGTACCTGTCTCATTTTGGTTGATTGGGTCTCTGATTCTGTCAATCTGTTCTCTCTCGATTAAATCTTGTACAGGATTATTAGGAATCTGTCCATCTTGACTTTCATGGGCAATGTGGCGACATCTTTGTCGTAACTTGGTAACTACCCCGAATTTGCACTCAAGGTTCAATCTACCAGTTTTAATTAAAACAATTCCTACTATGGCAATAAGGACAGGAAAAAGTCCCTAACTGAAAGGCATATTCTGGAACAGAAACACAAAAGACTAAAAAATTATTTTTTAACGAACTCTAATATGAAAAATACAAATTTGTGCATTAGCTTACACAGTAATCTTATAGAACAACTCAAATCTCTAGCTGCATAGTTATACAGTAGATTACATGTACACTACGTGTTAAAGCCTCTTTACCTTTGAATTTTTATTTACTTAACCGGCGATGAAATTATTTATAATATTGATGAAAACCTAACTTGACTTTATTTCCAATACCTCCAAATTTTCTCAATTTTTTCCTCAATTACAATAGGTCGAAAATTGACTTCCCGATTCAGTTTAACTTTTATATACACCACTTGCTGTTTGCTGATTGGATAGGGTGTGAAACGAAGGGAATGCTCCAAAAGTTGCATCTTGGGGTTTCCAATGCCTTAACTGACAGAAAACGTCATGTCATGTTTATTTTATGTTGAGCCATATCTATTATGTCGTTTTTGCAGATTAATTGAGTATATTTTGTTTGTTAGTGTTAATTTCTAAACTACATGTAAGTGGCATTCGAATTCATTACTTATAAAATTATTTTAGTGTTTTGCCAACTCCAAAATACACAATCACTTTTCAATTAATCCAGTAATTTAATTCATTTAAAATTGTGAGAATGGTATTTTTGGGGCACCCTTTACTTCAAATGTAAATCCATTCAGGACGACATGTTGCTCAAATATTTTGGGCTTCAGCACTTCAATACAGGGTGTTACTAAATTCTGATAAAATGACTCATCGCTTTAGCAAGCGCCTGTTCTACAAATAACATGATACTTTATAGTAACAAGTGTTCTATTCTTATTTTTCAGTTCTGTGGCGTTAGTTTTCATAAACCGAGATGCAGGAATACTCCAAATTGGCTTCAAGCCGGGCTTCAAGCAAACTAACTATATGTAATTTGGTTGTGGGTCTAGACACAGCCTCCAAAAAAGTATGTGGAGACAGTTTAAGCTTCATTCAAAGATTTATTATGCAAGTAGGAATGATATTGTGCCTGCTACCAGACGTGATCACCCTACAGGAAATCAGAGGCAAAGAAAATAAAAAAATTGTAAGAGAAAAACTGAAAGAGAAAGGCTACGAATCTCGCTTCTTTCATAACAATGACAGCGACAATACGTTTTATAATTGTATAGGCATTCGAAGTTCGAATTTCGGAAAAGATTGTAGTTGGAAAGAGGTTGGGTCCAAGCACTACTGGACAACTATCGACGATGCTGGAGTTCCATGTCTTAGTGAAAATAAAGATGCTCGTATTCCAGCTATACCCGAAAAGGGAGTAGAGGGAGATGAATGGGGCCGATGCGTTGGTGTGACTGTACTGCAACATAAAACGTCTCTGAAAAAAGTAATCGTCGCCTCAATTCATGTTGTCCCATTCGGAGAAACGAAGGTGCTTCAACAGAAAGCCTGTCTGTCGTTGGCAAATATGACTAGAGGTATAACAGGAGAAGCCAAAGATTGTCCAGTCATAATTGCGGGTGACTTCAACTTCTTTGACGAAGAAAGAAAAAGCAAAAGCTTCAAAGACTGGGAAGACTATGTGTTGGCACTCAATCTCCGTGAAACTCCTTTGAAAAGGATGGAGATCTCAGGAATCAATGAAAAAGGTAAACTGCCTTAATTTCCCTGAAAAAGAATAGTCTTTATGTCATGTCTTGATATGACTAATTAATTTAATCTAAGAAGAGGAAAAGACCATTGTTTCTTGTTCTTATACAACATTAAATTCAAAAACATATGCTTGAAAAAAGATATCTTTCAATTATACGTCTACCAATTTACAATCAAAATACAATTGTAAAATGTAATGTTTACTCGTCCATAATGTGAGGTAATGGTGAAATTGTATTAGTTAAACGATTGATAACACATTAATCATAACTTCCATGTTCTTTACCCCAGGTATACTTTAATTATAATTGTCTACTTAAATTTCCAACTATATTTTCAAAACACATACATTTTTAGATAAATTTATTGTTTTTTGTATTTTGTCTACCAACAAGATAGCTAAATATAATTTGTAATAGTCATCACAGAAATTCACTTTGAATGCTTCTTATTTTAGGTGTTATAGAGGATGAGTCTTTAATAGGAACATATACCCCATGGTCAACAGATAAATATGCACACGTTATTTATAAGCAACCACTTGGCTATTCAAAGTTAAATGCCATATTTGCTTCTAATGAGTTGCAATGCAAAGATGGCGTCACGGTGCAACCAATATTGATGAAGCATTTGAACGAGCTGTCCAAAATGACTCCCGAGGAGAAGAAGACGGGTATGGATGAACTAAGATTTCGGCTGAAAGACATCCTAGCTTCTGATCATTTTTTAATGAGCGCAGAATTTACACTGTCAGGTCATCAATAAGCTTGAATGGTGGATGTAAATGGTGAGTAAAAGCTAATATGAAAATATATGTATAATATGGTGGTCACATTTGCTGCGATTCATCGGCCGGCGCCCGGGCGATGGAGTATTTTGTTCTAAACTGAATACACTTTTGAACATAACACTCAATCGGCAGGGCGCCGGGCCGCCGGCCGATGAATCGGAGCAAATGTGACCCAGGCATAAGCTAGTATGAAGAAGGTATTAGTTATCTGGTTGCTAATATTTTGATGCAAAACAACATTAAGTCATTACGTTAAAGATTCGATAGGTCATTTAAAAGATGTACTTTGGGACTACATTTAAGGGTTGACGTGGCTGTCAAAACTCTCATTTACAATCTTAAAATATATGCATATCAAGTGATACCAATCACCAAACTCCAGCAATTACGTCCATGGATACCCTTTATTTAGACATATATGGATGCCTTCAATACATGTAACAGTATTTTTCAATTGACGGCCATTTCAATTCCGAATGGTCCTTTAAATTCAAATGTTCTTGTGACAGTGGCTCTATTTATAATATTGTGCATGGATTCATGTTACAAATAAAATCGCATTATTTTCAGTAGCTTCTCGGCGTGAACCTTCCCGGCCCTTTCAACCCGAGGCGTGACGGAGCATCGTGAGGCAATAACATCGAATTGCCCGAGAGCATGTGGATCACCGCACTGTCAAATGCGAACGGATGTATGAAAAATGAAGTGGAAAGCGGCAAAGTGTATCGCAGAATGACCTCTCACATGACTCTGGGTGTTGTTTTTGAAGAGTTCCGTCAGTAGCTGATAGAGGAGATTTTTATAGAGAAAATGAACCTTATAATATGCCATTTCATATTGGACTATTTTTCTAATTTTATTGCCGCCCATAGACCTCTTCCTCCACGTTAAAATATTACCTCAAGTAGAATCTGACATTTTATTTATTAATGCGGCATTACATTTCATTTTGAATTTACACGGTGATCACATATATAGATCATGCCTGGCACTTATATAGTGAAACATGAGAATTATGTATTACAACTTATAGTTTTTATCATTATTGAGGAAATTTTGGTTATCAACTGTTTTCATTTACAGTAAATCTAGTATTCGAGAAATAAATATGTATATATAGTTTAACTTATTCTAGAACATGTATTTAATCTGATAAGAAGAATAAATGCTTGTTATCCAAGTCATGAAATAACAGCTTCTTTTCTCTGTTTACGTAAACAATGATACCATAATACAATTGGCAATGAAATAACAATCAACCCTGACCATGATGGTAATGACATTTGTCAAATTATTGCTGATCATGGAATATTATGTTTGACGGTCAAATATGAGCATAAATTAGCACGACATTTCCAGGTTATTACATTGTCATGAATTGTTCAACTGTTGATCAAATAATGTATTCAATGGTTGGTGTTCAACGTTGACCATCAAATACCATGCTATTTCAATGCCAATCCATTAAATCATGACTGGAATTTAACCAAACCATTGTTCATCGTGGCATTAGCACTAGTTAGCAGTATTTAACTACCATAAAAAATATAAAGGTGTCTTTATCAATTTAAATTCACATTTCCAGGTTATTACATTGTCATGAATTGTTCAACTGTTGATCAAATAATGTATTCAATGGTTGGTGTTCAACGTTGACCATCAAATACCATGCTATTTCAATGCCAATCCATTAAATCATGACTGGAATTTAACCAAACCATTGTTCATCGTGGCATTAGCACTAGTTAGCAGTATTTAACTACCATAAAAAATATAAAGGTGTCTTTATCAATTTAAATTCTTTAGTGATGCTTATACATACTGGAATTAATATGATAAGTCATAAAAATCATAACTTCAGTAGATACAGTGGAGGAACTCTTCAAACTAGTAAGAGAAACGGATCCGTTTACGTAATAAAATGTCGCAGCCTCGAAGGTACGATTTTTCTTTTTTCAAGATTTCACAGGTTGTAGGCAAAATCCTCACGACCTTTTTACTACAAACATGCGTAAGCATCATATGTTTATGAAAATCTAATAATTTGTGAACGAGTAGTTCACGAGGCGCCAGAATGATCATAATTATTCCTCACTATTATTACGAAAACGAAACGGTTAAAAGTGCAGATGTTTAACCGTTTTCAACGTTCCGTTTTCGTAACTTAAGTGGAGAAGTATATCGATGATTGTGTCGTCTCGTGAATTATTCGATCGAAAACGTCTAGATTTTCTGAAACATATGTTGCTGCCACACATTTTTGCCCAAAATTTCGTGGACATTCTACCTACATCTCTAGTGATCATGGAAAAAGTAAACTCGTACTTTCATTGCTGAGATAATTTGTTACGTAAACGGATCCGTTTACGTAGCATTTTGAAGAGTTCCTCCATAGTGAGATACATTATACTTACTGAGTGACTTTTTTAATACTAGGTATAGTACTTTAGATGTACGACAATTTCGCAAACCATTGCAATTGTCCAACGCACATCGGTACACCCCCACCTCCAGTATTCAGCAATCACAACCATAAGTTGGACTTCCAAATTAGGACATTTAAATTCATATTGATAACATTACAATACATGTTGAAGAACAAATAAAGAACAATGCAAAGAATTGTTTAAATTCAGATATTTATTCATTTTATTTATCGTTCCATTTGATGAATAATTGTACAATGTACATGTAGCAAGATTTAACAATATTGCCCTTTGAAATCAGGTTAGGGGCCCGGTCAATATTTCAATGTCCGTCAAAAACGTAATGAAAGGTTTTGAAAAAGTTAAACATTGCCCCAACGGATATTTGGCACACATTTTTTAGAAAAGTTGAAAAAGTCATGGAAAATGATTTCAATGACATAACTCTATAAATCGAGATCATAATTGTAGAAACGAATTCAAATATGCTTTTAAAAAGAAGAAAATGTAAGAGGATTAGAGATTTAATATGCAAATCTCTTAAAATATCATGTAAAACTATTCTCATGAATTAAATTCTTTAAGCACTTCCCCTCCATGATGCTGAAACTCTGATATTTAACATGTAATTCTTTGAAAAGTTAGAAATATGAAACAGTAAACGTTATTATAAAATGATATACTGGTAACTCTGGACGTTCAATTGCTTTTTGATTTGTCAGAATCTAATGTGGAAGAGCACATCTTGCACCTAGTTTTAATTCACTGTTGCTTATTCGCGTTTAACACCCCAGTCACATTTCCTACGGCGACCTTGCGGTCTATCATTTCTGCGGCCAGTAACATTTCTACGCTCGCCGTGGAATTTCGAAGGCGACTTGGGTGTTACCGATACAGTATAAGGGAAATATTTGATAGGCTTGCACTAGAAAATAAATACAGTACTAGAAGTTCAAATCTCGTTTTACATTGCAAAGCATTAAACTGGATATTATTTCCATGGATTACTTTAAAACAGAATATATTTTCCAAAAGCATTGCTAATATAGCATACTACACTTGTCGGTCATGCGTGACCAACGCTAGGCTGTCACTAATTAGTTTAACGAGATTAAGGCTGTATTTTCGTATACACGCGGGTGCAATAAACCCGCACAGCAGTTAATGAGCCTTATATAATGAAAACGATCAATGGACCTCACGGGGTGAATTGCATGGTCGCATGTTTTAACAAAAAAACAGCTCATTCAAGCGCAAACAGACATCAAAGTTTGTGTTTAAGTGCGCTTGAATGAGCTGTTATTGTAGAAAACATGTGAGAATCGCGGAGCTTTTTGTTCTTTTTCGTGATACCTGCTGACAAGGCTCATTAAGTGGTGTGCGGGTGGATTGGGCCCGCTGGCATACGAAAATGCAACCCCAATCTCAAACATTCCCTTTGCTAAATTACATGTATGTGTGTTACATTTATAGTACATTACATAGATCAGATAAATATTAAGCTACGGCCACTGTCTGAATTCGTGCTTTAAAATAAAAGCGCGCGTCTACTTCAATACTGGCTCTGATAAAATGACTATTATATGCTATTAGTCAACGCCCACCAATTGTCATTTAATTATACTGCAAATAACTTGGAACTGTACTAAGAACAATGGCCAGCAATGTGTCAAGAATGCTTAAGTCTTAAGCTTTCTTGGTTATGTTCTCTATTTTCTACATATAAGGCTTGTTTATGTTGAATTTGAGGCAAGCACTGTCGGTTACACGGATCTTTTGTGTCTCTTAGTCTTCTCATCACAAGTGTTGATCATCCGTTCATCCGATTTTTCCATTCCCACCTTTCTCTGGGCCATCCATCGATTTTTCCATTCCCACCTTTCTCTGGGCCCTCCATCGATTTTTCCATTTCCCACCTTTTTTGGGCCCTCCATGCATCAAATAAATGTAAATAAACGTACATAAATGTCACAGTCAATATAAATGATCGATTAATATTCAACTATTTTTAGTTTTGTTTAAACATGATACAATGACTAATTATCATTTTGGTCAATGCTCGGCAATTGTCAGGTATACTGCAAATATCTTGGTACTATCTATTAACAGATGAGTGTTCAATGCATCATGCCTGAAGCATTATAATATATGTTCTCTCTACCATCCTGATAATCATAGCATCTTCTGTTTCACCTCCGGGCTGAGAAGAAATGAGATGTCATGGTTTATCGTGATGTCTCTCTACCTACATATTACAGTTGTTAAGGTGGAAGAAAATGAAGCAATATCTGTGGAATCAGATTTTTGTCTCTTGGCTTCATATGAAATGCTGTACATCGGTTGATTCATTTTTTATTTCCACCTCTCTTCGAGTCCCTCTTACGCAAATGTACATAAATGGCACGACCAATCTTAGTAGCGTAATCAATCATATTCAACTGTCTTCGGTTTTGTTTCTGGACTGTGTTGTCGTATTGGCGCAAGTTCACCTGAAAGAAGAGGTTTCTGTACGTTAAGATCAATTGGTGCACACATTCTCTAGTAGTAAACTACATAAAGTATAAAGTATATTGTGCGTTTAATATTCGTGAGCTTGCCTTAAAATGGCATCAGTACAAATTAAATCGTATTATCTTATACATGTACATTATGATAAGATTATACGTGATGTTACAATAAATAGAATATTTTTATCATTTAGAATCGTGACGAAGAGGTCATTCAATGATCTACTGCAAATATATGACCGAAGATTTTATTCTGTCTATTGCCAAAAGACCTCGGTCTTTACCCAGAATAAAATATTCGGCCATATATTATACTACGAGTCATATAATAGAATTTCGATCTTTATTCTGTAAATATGAGTACCTGTATCATTTTGACGTGGTTCCACCATTCTTACATGTCTAGCAGTTTGTCCATTGACGATAACTTTGCCATTCTGTTGCTGGTCCTGCTTGTCTTGCATTAAATTGTTCATTTCTTCTCTGTCCTCTATTGCTGTGTCATCAACTGCAACATTACGATCTCTTGGATCATGACGACATCTCTGTCTTATCTTAGATATTACACCAGCTCTATACCCTACAACGATTGCGATACCGACTATAACGACAACTGCAGCGACTATTAAGAGAGGCACGCCATATGTGTTAAAATTGTTGATTGATGGTTCGGGTATGGGCTTTGGATTAATACACCGAACGTAATCCCCACAATGTTCCATCACATGTTTATTGCTCCAACAAAGAATTTCGTACTCTGGGTTGCGCCCCGGGGTACAAATATCACTACAAAGCTGTTCGTATTGATACCCAGGTTGTCCCTCTCGTTGGAAGCGAATGTCATATTTACCACAACCTGTTGTCGAGGCGGATAGTACAAGTTCTGGTAGATGTAGATAGACTGCAGCTAAGAACGGAAGAAACTCGCTTATATCCATGATATCTGATATGTGTCTGAAATATATGGAAAATTCAATTAGTTAATTGGAAATAAACTCCCCTCCATAAGTTTGGCAACCTTTTCTCCCTCATTGAACTACGTGTTAAAGCCTCTTTATGTTTGAATTTTTATTTATATTACATGTGAGGGAAATACTTTTAATATTAATGGAACTGTAACTTGACTTCATTTGGAAAATCTAAAAAAAAGATAAAAATGCATTTCAAAATTTTAGTTCTCACAGAAATCAATGGTACAATAATATTTAAAACATAATATATTCTTTTTTAACCTGGTAAGAGTAAACGTTAATCAACATTGGTTTATTTTTGAAGTTTAACATATTTTGAAAATATTTTTAAAAAATCTATTTTTTTCACATTTTTTACCACCTGAGTAATGTCACGATGAGGTCACTAAAGTTGCAGAATATTTTTGATTTGCTAAAACATTGAAGTGGGCACATTAGATTTCTCATTTTATTATTGAAATTCATTATTGAAATAGTATGTACTTTGTTCAATCTTTGCATCGGTGTTAAAAAGAAAATGTTATCTGCACTGTATTGTGAAATATCTTAGTACCCCACATACTAACTAGTCACAGACTTTAAAACTTGTTTTTAACACTTCCCCTTAGTAAATAAGCTAATATTTTAATTGAAAATAGCGGGAAAGTATAGGTTTTTAAGAAATAACAAGCTGGCACCTTTTTAAACTAGTTTAAAACTCGGTTCCTGACGTGCAAAATATAATTTTTTCGACGATTTACATTCAAGTCACTTGCAAAATGTATTACAAAAATTGACAAATTAATTTTATTTAAATCTTGTATTTAAGTTTTTAATAACCTTGTCAGGTTGGCCGAGTGGTCTAAGGCGCCAGACTCAAGTTATCCTTCCATACAATGTATGGGCGAGTGTTCTGGTCCACGAATGTGGGCGTGGGTTCGAATCCCACATCTGACAAGCTTTTTTGTGCAATTTATTTGCATTTTGAGACTGCCACATAATCGTCAAGCTACAGATATACTTGTAGTCTATTGTTGCTTTTACCATTAATTTTAGGACGCTAATAAAGTGACTCTCCGTAATTTTTGTGTTCTCTAGAAAAACAAAGAAATTCTTTTCATCGCCATAGTATTTCCGATGGATACTTATTTACTTGGTCTTTCGTTGAACACCAAAGAGCCAATGCTGAACAAATCACAGTATAGAATAGATTATCAGAAATATTTATTCGATCTGTTAGGCTATTCTTATGTCAAGTGTTTTGTAATGTCGATGTAAGGCGAGGTATTTTCACGATTTTTTCTTTTTTTTGGTACACTCATGGTGTTTAATTAATTATGTAAGTTAAATCTTTACATGATTTTTTTTCTTTTTCTTCTAAAATGTAAACTTCGGAAATGAAAAAATTCTTAATTCCATTGACGTAATGGCGACATAGTAAGAGAACGATGAATAGAGGAGTTTCTAAATAGCTTTGAAATCTCGCCAATTCTCGTTTTTCATGAGATTTTAAGAGAATAGCACTTTTTACCTCTAAAGGACTTACTTTTCTTTATTTTTGATAGCATATTTGAATTCAGTGACAAGTTTTGTCCAATAACAGCTTTGGTTTACACGGGTATGTCATTTAAATCATTTTGTTTCCATGACATTTTAAAAAACGGGCCAAATCTCTTTGATAAATCATGAAATTAAGTGACTATTGCAAGTTTCTAGCATTGAGATGAATGGAGGTCTGGCCCAAAAAATCAAAGACAAAAAATGGCATCTATTATTATGTCAGAGTTATTCAGCTATTTAGAAACTATACAATAAGAAAATTTTTGACGAAGGTTTCTGTTGTTGACCCTCGCATATGGCTCCTTTTTCCCTGCACGCAGGACGAAGCTCTCTTTTAAGAAGTGAACTCGAACGAATGCAAAGGGTTGGCTCCTTTCGGCACTACAACTGTATCTGGAATGGTGACAAGACTACATCACTATACCAGTAACAAGACCAAATGTTATCATCGTGGTAAGCCACGCCCTCTCCATCTCTATCCTTCTGGAGACTGCGATGCAACAGAGAGATATGCTATGCGTATATCAGAATGAAATGTTATGATGAAATCGATCTAATGCTGAACCAACTCGTGTTTAATTTGCCTCTTGTTCTTTCGTATTGGAACCTATTTCTCAGTCCCTTGTCGATAATTTAACCAATGGGAGTACCTTTTGCAAAGCCCAAACAAACTGAGCAACATTCTTATCATGGTCTGTTGAGGCTCTTTTCAAGGAGGATTGGGTCCCAGAATCGAAGTCGATATTTTCCAACAATGAAAACGCATAAATGTCGTTATTTTCTGAAATTCTAACCGATTATTAATTCAAAATAAAAAGTTCAAAAGATTCGAACCAATATCTCGATAAATTCCTGTGAGTTTTGGAAATTTTTTGTTCGGAAATAAGACTACAATTTACGATTCAAATGTTGAAGTGAACAAAATGGCGGCTGTTGGAATTTGAATTTTGTAGCACGACATCCCCATATATGGGACAGAATATCGATGTCGCACTCTGGGAGCCAATCCTACTTGGGCTCTTTTTCAAAATCAAACTCCTCCATGCCAGTCGGGAATATCTTGGTAAGTGATTAAGATTAATTGTATAATTAAGATTCATTGTATTAATTAAGATTCATTGTACTTTTACGAGTCATATTCATTACAATACTACATTTTTCATCTGTTAAAGGTTGTTTCAAAAATGAATTATCTATTATTCAGTTTCGACAAATATGGTTACCATTTTTATTATTCGGGAGAATTTACACATCTTTACTCCATTTCGGCACTTTGAATCTTTTAAAATAACTTCACCAATTTTTAACATATGAGCCAGGCCAAATGAAAAAGGGTTTTATCACAGATTTTTTCAATATTCAGATTTTTTGTTTATCTTAAAAAGCACAAAGAGACCTTTCAAATGCACTGTTCCACAACTAGTTACTTCCGTCAATGTAACAAAATGGATGAACTCCCTCTTTACGAGTTTTCTGTTTTCTCGATTTAACCCTACATATAAGTCAAGCTGCAGATTATATATATATTTTATTGACTCTCTGGTGTCATTGCAATGGCATAATAGTCACTATAAACTACAATATACAAAATTAAACTAAGACTAAACTAACTTCTTCATAGAAAATATACAAAGTTGTAAAATACAATTACAGCATCACAAAATGTAAAATACAAAAATATAAGATAGTTGTAAAATACAAATACAACATGACAAACAAAACATCAGTGTGATGTATCATTATTGTCGCAATATTAATCAAGTTGTTTGAATGAATGATAAATGAGCTTTGCTAGATGTAAAATTACATAAGAATTTTTATGAGACAAAAGTTTTTTTAAATAAAGTCAGGACTACCTACAAAATTAAATTGTGTAAGGGTGTCAAACAGAAGTTTTCTTTCTGTTGTATTTTTCTTACACATGATAAAGTGTTGTTCATCTTCTAAAATACCACACATATTACCTGTACATAAACCGTTCATTCAAAGGTCTTGGCTTAGGCTTCAAATGACGACCAATTTCTATATGTAATTTGTGTGAACTAAGTCTAAATCTACTAATTGCTTGTCTGTAATTGTATTTTGTATATTTAAATAACCCTCTCTTTCAAAGTCCGTTATACAGGGTGACCCAAAAAAATGCAACCCTCCATTTCTTCAATATTTTTCTTAAATGGAGGTGAATTGCTCCGAGATTTGGCACACAAGGACCTCATTCAATGTGGGATCCTCTGGCAAAGTTTCAATAATCATAGTCTTATATTGATAGAGTTATGGTTGTTTCAAAATATGCTCGAGATGTCGTCAATTTCACTGAAAACAAACTTGCAATGTTCAAAAAAAACTGTTTATAACACGGATGCATTCTTCCCTATGGGTACTGCTCAAATTTTTGCAGCAATTGCTTGTTGGAGTTCTGCAATTGCGGGAGGGTTATTTTCATACACATTATCCTTTAAATAACCCCATATATAGAAGTCAGGGGCATTGAGATCAAGACTTTGGGATGACCATGGGTTCTCTGTCCTTGGAGAGACAATCTTCTCATAGAAATGACTAGTGAGCCAGGCTATGTTATCATTAGAAGTGTGAGGAGTAGCTCCATCCTTCTAGAACCACTGTTCTTGTCTATTGAAGCCTCTATGTCACTCTAGAACTGCCTAGAACTTCCTGGGAACGCCAATATTGCGCTGTGTGTTAACAGTAACAGTGTTGCCATTATCAACCTTAAACCAAAAGGGGCTGATGATTTCCTGTTTGGAAATTGGCAGCCCAAGCTGTGCATTTAACAGAATGAAGGGGCCTTTGAAGCACTTCATCTGGAATTTGTGATCCCAGAACACATTGTTTCTTGAGTTTACATGTTCAGAAAGAAGGGAATGTGATTCATCTGAAAACCTAACATTGGAAATGGATGACATTTGGAGCATATTTTGGAACGACCATAACTCTATCAATATAAGACTATGATTATTGACACTTTGCCAGGGTATCCCACATTGAATGAAGTCCTTGTGTGCCAAATTTCAGAGCAATTTACTGCCATTTAAGAAAAATATTGAAGAAATGGAGGGTTGCATTTTTTTGGGTCACCCTGTATTACCAATACTTATCAAAACTTCGACGACTTACGTCAATGTAACAAAAGCGATGGTCTAAATGCATGAATTATAGCTTTATTTAAAAGGTCAATTGTGCATGTTGCTTGTAATTTTGTCACCCTCTTCATGGGCGGATCCAGAAGCTAACAAGGGAGGGGGAGGCACATTTCAAATCAGAAAAACAATTTGGGCCCCTAAATCCAAAATTTGGCCCCAAAATATGTCATTCTAAAGAAGTCTTCGATGGAAATTAGTTATAATTCATTTAATTGTCTAATTAGTGTTCATGTCCAAGGACGTTGAGATACGAATTAATTCCGTCTGTGACATTGATATTATTACGCTCCAAATGAGATTTTGTTTTCATCTTAGTTTGATTCATTTATATCGCCGCGTATGTTTCAAATATGATTGAAATTGTTCACATGTTACATCCATGGAAATTGAGTTTATAATATTGAAATACTTGAACCATTGGATATACGTTCATATTGACAAAAATTGAATTATTGATTAATGATGAAAAATGCAAAGGAATTTCAAATAATTAATTTATTGGCAATATACATGCTATAAGATGAAAGTTAGGACACTCTATAGTCTTCAGAGCCCAAGCCAGTTCATTTGATTTCGTGTGATCTTCAAATTATTTCCAAGGGTCTTGTTCATGTACATTATGTTTTCTCAAAGCCCAGAACCCATAAAAGTTTGATTGTGTAAACAAGTAGTAGTGACGGTTGTCCGCGGTTGTGACAGTTGATACTTGATCTGAATTGTTAACACGAGAAGAGGGAGTGATAAGACATACAATATTAGTACAAATTAGAGTTTAAAGTCTGTTGAATGAGATAATGTTCAACGATTTTACCTGGTCATCCCAAAACCACCTTAGTGCAAAATGTCGCCTCAAGACTATTCCTTCATTTATTTCTAAACGCCTTATAAACACTGAGTATTATTAAAGCATACAATAATAGTTTTTGATAGTACACCATATTTATATAAATTATTCAAACTTCATTTACGTATTCTATAAACATGAAAACAGTTAATTTAACACAGGGACCCGGAGTATTTGCAAGCGTCGGATCATTAATATTTTTGTATGTTTATTATTCAATGCTTTATTGTACTAAAAATCCCTTTCGGGTGAGTGTACAGCAAATAAACATGATAAAATAAAACTAAAACTATACATACAATTACAATAGCATACAATGCAAATTTTACATGGCATATATATGATTGTATGTGATTTTAAGCACATTTTCTTCCTGGTTGTATTAATTGGGATTACTGATAGGAGAACACTATTACTCAAACATCACGCATTTCAGCATTTTTTCTTCATGGCTGGAAATTTATATAGGACAATCATGATGCAGATTAATTAACGAATATTCAAAGTCATAAATAAAACTATCTTTACATTTAATTGTTTTCGAGTATCCTCATTTTTAATCAATCAAAAGTATACACCCAACAAACTCAGATTGAGTATTTCAAATCTGTCGAAAGTCGCCCTGCAAGATCCCAAATGACGTCAGCACTACCTTTCTCATATTGCTTTTGCAGATACAAGTTGTTATTTTTCAAAAATTTAAACCGTATCGGTTTGGAGCATATAACGGTAAGCTATATTTATACTCCTGCGCGTTTCTAGTCTAGTTTATTCATCACAACTGTTCAAAAGGGGGTCGTCTCAATATTAACTGATTTTAGCCATCTTAGATAGGCGCCGTCTCAAAAGCAACCGTTCTAAATATTTTATTTTTCCTGAGCCTCCGTTATATTGTACTAAAATTCTGTGAAATGAGTGTTTTGTGTATTCGAAAAACAGTAGCCAGTGTTAAAGAAGTCGTGTTTATAATCTTCTTAATGTGACTTTTCTACACTATTTCTTCATGTACATTTTTAAATGACAGACGGCCTAAACTTTGTAATGACAAACTTTTCCGATTGATGAAGTTTGATGGAGAATCTAACCAAAATGTTTTGCATAGATAATCTTACGCTTCTATTCAAATCTATGTCAAAGAAATATATGCATAATGCTCGTTTCATAGTAAAACTTGTGCATTAATACTTTGAAGTTAATACTGTGAACATTTCATGAAAAAGTATGTAGAATTGAAAGCGTTATTAAAATAAGAGGCATGACTTGTTTTGTTCCGGTGTGAAAGAAATGATGGTCCCCCAGGGATTATGGTCCCCTTTCTTAACAGCCCTTACTGGCCCTGATTGCGTACAAGATAATGAGGGAAGGAGTTGTATTTAGGTCACCATATAAATCAATGGAGAGTAGGACCATAATTTGATAGGACCTCCTACCCTTTTACACCGGCTACTACGATTCAAGAGAAGAACCAAATACACAAAATATGTACATATCTTTTAAATCAAAATGTGAAATATGCACAGAATCATATCGAATGATTTGACCAAATAAAAACGGGCAAAAATTAACCTTGTTAATAATTAATCATGTCAAGTTATTTTGTTTTGTAGGCTAACGGCTTACAAAACGTATGTACCAATACGATCAAGCCTAATTCCGTTAATTTTTCAAACGAATCCTTTATATTTGCATTGTAAACTTATCTTTTGTTGGCACAACAAAATATCATAACAAAATCTGATTGGTTAACTGATTGAAGCATCGTTTATTCAAACTTTGAAAAACATTAACACGGAACAAAATCCATTGAATGGATTGTACTATATCCTGAAGAAAATTCACTGCTACATGTAGAACCACAGCATTGTGTCTGTACAAGGATTACGGTGGCTGTATTGAAGGTACATGAAATATTGGTTTTAATAAAGACTGATATTTCCTGACCGTACAAGTGATTTAATCTCCCGGGTTTAATCTCAACCAAGATAAGTGTACACAATCTGACAATATTGAAGAGAGGTATATATGCCATACAGAAGGGGAAATTTCTGAGCCTAGAAATTCTATCATGCATCGGAAATCGGGTACCATATAAGGATTTTCCCGAATACTTATTAAAAAGACAGCACAATATTTGTAACCTGGATACCTTCTATTTCTATAAAATAAACGCGTTTAAACTTTGCCAAAATTGACACAAGTTACCGATACATGGGCATCCGATTTAGTTAGGAGTCTGAACATTATTAAGTTTTTAATCCTAGATTTGACACATATCATTTAGTTGATACACGGTGGGCCAAAAAGCGTCCATATTTTTATATTTGCAATATTTATTATGATTCTTGGATTTAATGGATAATACAGGCCCAATATCTTCGCAAGGAATGCAGTTATACAATCAATCCCAAAATGGCATAGTACTATATCTTTAGTGGTATTTGAATGAGTAATGAACAGTCAATAGTACAAAATTTTGGAGTCCAAATTTTTTTGGGGCCAAATTTCTTTTGGGCTGAGCCAAGGGGGGGGGGGGCTTCTCCCACCGTGGTTCCGCCAGTCTTATACCCCTTATATTGGAACCAAATGAACCACTTTTGTCTGGAAATAATTTCATATGTAGTGAACGCCCTACCCTATACGTGTCTCTCCGACGGATTGTATAAAATGTTATTGTGGGATTATTATTTGAGACATGCGGATTCGAATATTATCGATATCCTAAGAACTTTATATTTTCAGTCAAACCTCTAGTGACTATTGATCTTATTCAGAAACCCCTGAAGATTAATCATTTTAATTTTAGGAATAAATCCGAATGGTTCCTAAACATATCTATCAATATAGTTAACGAAAACACAGAATGAAGTTCTGCACTAAGGGCTGATAAACATATTCATTGTTAAATGTAGATGAAATGGTTTCAACAACGAATACATCGCGCTTTTAGACATTAGTCTTACTTCAAGACTGTGGACCCCCCCCCCCCTCTTATCTACTTCTCCAACACATTATGAAAAGAAGATCCAAAAGGTCCAGGGTCTTGAAGCAAGACTATTAGACCTTTACGAATTTTAAAGTTCACATCGCTAGCCATGGTAGTTGGTAGACTGACGGTAGTCTCTCAAAGCATTGTGAAATTAATCTTCTTTATATAACATGCAGTAACCCTTGTATTCTAATTTGTTTTTCAGGGAAATTGAAACGACTAACATGGCGCTGTCTAAAATATCAACCGGAACTACTATAAAACTGTGTACATTAGATGTCAGTTGTGATACAACTGCCAATAAAGCACATAAAAAATATGGTGAAGAATATGACTTCAAGATAAGATTTCCAAAACAAATTGAAGCATTTGATTCTTTGCAGCCCGATGTAGTAAACCTTCAAGAAGTTCGATACAAGGATAACCTAGAATGTGTAATATCAGAAATGAAAAAGAAAGGCTATATCGTTCATTCCTTCTATAACAATACACAACCAATGAGCTTCAATAATTTTATATGTGTTCGTCGAGATGGTAACTGGGAAGAGACTCTAGTAAAACATTATTGGACGGCCATGAGGGAAAACGGTGATTCGTACCTGAGTGATGATGAGAGTGCACGAGTACCACCATCGGAAAATCAAAGAGGTGATCCACATGGAAGATGCGTCGGTGTTTCTGTTTTGAAAAACAAGCTCATTCCTACCCTTAAAGTAATCGTTGCATCCATACACGTGGTTCCGTTTGATGATAGTACGAAACGGGTACAGCAAGAAGCCTGTTTGTCACTGGCGAAAATGACTCAGACAATATCTGGAGATGATACGATCCCAGTCATCATTGCTGGGGATTTTAACATTTTCAATGAAGATAGAGAAAACAAAACAAAATTTGACCGGTTCAAAACATTTGCATCAGACCTGAATTTACGTGAAATCGACCTTCAGAAAATGATAATTAAAGAAAAGATTATCACAGATCAAGCCCATATTGGAACTTGTGTAGAGCAGCCAACGATAATGGAAGAGGATCCGAAGAAAATCGGTACATTCACTCCTTGGTCTTTTGACAGTTTTTCTGACATTGTCTATAAACAACCATTGGGTTACTCCAAATTGGATGCAATTTTTGCATCTAAATCTTTAGAGTGCAAAGATGGTGTCACCGTGCGGCCAATATTGATGAAACCTCTAAACGACCTGTCCAAAATGTCATCCGAGGAAAAGGAGATGGGCATGGATGAATTACGATTTCGACTAAAAGATGTGCTTGCTTCCGATCATTTCCTACTTACGGCCGAATTCACATTCACCTAAATGTAAATAATATTACTGCTTGCTTCTGATCATTTCCTACTTACGACATTCACCTAAGTGTAAATAGTACTGTATTATAATGACGATTTGAAAATGATTGTGTATCAGTCCTAGTATTGTATATAAAAATAAATTAATTAAATTAATAGAATATACGTAATTGTTATTCTTATAAAAATATTTCTCTTAATGAATTCATATATAGCCGGCATAAACATTTGTATCACTAAAATTATTTACATAGTAATAGAAAATATATGCACGATTGACAGGAAACAGAAAGGAGCAACAATTGTTACAGAAAACAGCAGAAAATTTTGGGCCAATATGAAGATGGTAGCATGATATATAAGGATGTAACTCTAAGACATAACCGCAGTGACATCTTTATATCGGCCTAAAAAGCTATGGATATCTTAACAAAATATAAAAAAACTTTTCAGAAAATCGAAATCAATTTGTTCACCTCCCTGTTTAACTGCCGTGCAGATTTACTCAAAGTGTAATATCTGACAATTTTACGACACTTGCTTAAATGAATATGTTTTGCATCGAAGTTCTCACTGGCCTATCTGAGGTTCTAAAGCTATGTCTAAGCTACATTTTGACACTAAACTCAATAGGGGCCAAACATCTATTTTTGAAATAATTGGTCAATTGTGACACTACCCCCTCTCTCTGCCGAGAGAAATTGAAATTCACAAAAATGAAGGCAAAATTAATCCGCCACTTGACTCGAAATTTTCCTTCAGATAACCCATTGGCTTTCAACTTGAAGGGTAGGTAACTTCCCATAGCATTGCATTTGGGTTTTCAAAATTGGAGAATGCCCACATTCCAAGAAAACTTATTTTGTTCTTTTATGGATGATTTAAAGAAATAACTCAAAAATAAAAAACATGATTATCATATAATGTTGATAATTTAATAAAAAATGGAATTCATCATAATTATGACAACACAGAAAGTGAACATTCTCCCACAAATTATGTTTTTATTGGAATGTGTTCTTGAATAATTACCCACAATGCCCAAAGGGATACATCTTGAAACCTCTTATTCTTATTGGTCTTTTTTGTTTAAAGCGAAGCATGGCATTGCCCATTTTGACACGCCTAACCATCGACAAGGTACAGTCACGTGACAGTGACAAAATATGCCGTAGTACACTTTTGATGTACTATGTCATTTTCGCCATTTTAGATCTCCATTTTCTAGAATGAGGAATCGAGGTAAGAACTCGCATTGATTTGATCAATATTGTGTCAGTTCATCATCAGGCAGTTGTTGCATTCGATTTGTAATTAAGTTGCAAATATGCATATCTACTTCAAATGATCCTCAGCAACTTCAATATCTTGTTATAGATCTACCCAGTACGTCAGGGATCTCTAAATCTTGACTGAATTTCGCAAAATTCTCTCTAATTTTTGTTTTGCTATGCAAATAACAGCCAAACTATGACTAACACAGCTTAAGATAAGTATACAAATATACATACAGAGTTAATGCAAAACCGCTTTTTACTTTGGATGCTACTACGAAAAATAAATAATGTATGTTGTCAACTCGAATGTATGTTGTCACATTGGCCTTACAGATCTCAATTCACAGTTAATTTTACAGTGAATGAAATGCTATAATGTACGTGTAATAGAAGGAACATATTTGATATTAAAGTAATAATTTATAATGATAGGGCTGGCATATCGAAACATTTACTCTAATATTTTGTCCGTTAATCCATAAAATTGTCATTGATATGATTAAATTTCAATGTTACTAATATTTTTTTAGTATTCCATAACCCTGGCTTTTGAACTTCTGCACTTTCCCCCCTAGGCAGACATATACCAATTTCTACATAGTATGTGTCATATATCATATTTAAGCTTATCCAAAGTTACATTGATTTGCCAAATATGATGGTTCAAATGGTAAAAAGTAACAGGCATTTCAAAAATTAGCGTTTTGCCAAAAAGTTCATTTCAGTATCCTGGAAACAGCCCTGACCTGAATGTGACAGAAAATATGGATGCTATTCTCGAAGATAATATATGGATATCGAGTTCTAAAAAGATGACGTTTAGGGTAGATACTCCAAGGAAACTCTTCTTATGCCTTAAAAAGGTTTAATGAGGATTACAAAACGCCATCATATATGGAAAGTATTGCTGCTGTTAACACGGCGGCTAAGGAGACACACCGACTATTGTTTTGGTGTAAAACTGACTTTAATTTTGTTCAAACACTAACTTTTGAAATTCCTGTAACTTTTACAATTTGTGAGTTGAACCATGATACTCGGCAAATTAATGTAACTTTGGATGAGCTTTAAAATGATATATGACACATACATGGAGACATTGGTATATGTCTGCCTAGGGGGCCCATAATTTCGGGACACCCTGTAGCATAAAGTCATCTTGGATTAGCTAGTAAAGATCTCTCCATGAACTCCTTAAGATTATTAAAATTCATAAAAGTGCAACTAAACATATCGTAACGTACCGACGTCGAGTGGTCAAAGAGGTCGGAAGAAAACACGCCATGGTCACATATTAATCACCATATTAATACTTCCATAAAATAAAATAGCATTCAACGAAAAAATCACTTTTACCTGTTTATCTGTACTAGGGATACAGGAGCATGTTCGTTGAACATCACTTGTAACGCATAAAACCCTTAATGCATTTTGAAATTAAATCATTGCAATGTTTAATATTATAACTCATGTATTTCAATTACAGGGACAACATACACTGTGAGTTGACAACGTACATTTCTGATTTTTTAAATTATATCAAATGCATGAATGTTTATTAAATGTTCACCTGTCCTAAACTGTGTAGTTTAGAGAAACACATTCTCGTAAAAATATTCGACTCTCTGAGACGTCAGGGGAGAAAATTATCAAAGGAAATGTGTAAAAAACAACATTTTTCCAACCGAAGAATCGTATGGGTAGACTAACAACGAAAAAGATCGAGCACTGCTCGAAGATCTTTTAACGTTATTAGAAAAATAAATGTCTTTGAAATCGAATGCACGCGAAATCAAACATAAAATCCTCTGTGTACTCCTAAAATTTATTTTTGAAAACCTGCATCAAACCTACATCATAGTCTTCGCTCAAAATCAGTTAATAGTGACATAGTACATCAAAAGTGTACTACGGCATATTTTGTCACTGTCACGTGACTGTACCTTGTCGATCGTTAGGCGTGTTTGAAGGTCTCGTGTTTATTACAGAGTTGCATACCCTTCTAATTGAAAGCCCATGGATAACCCAAATAAACGCATTTTCGTAAGAAATGGCATGTTGTCATTGCAAAAAGAACTCATTCTGCTTATTTTTTCTTTTTGGATGTTGCTTTCCGTGATTTATATGGTTAAATATTTTGAAGTGCGTATTTTATACATTTATTTCCTAGCTAGAATTACATCTAGGATAAGCATGACGCTCAATTAAAATCATAAAGGTTTTCATATTTGCATCTTTTATGTATTGGGGAGGTCGATGAGGGAAGACATCATTAATATTAGTTTTGATCAAAGTAATTGCACTTTTATAGCAACCAAATATCAATATTTTATTCTTTTTTCCTATATTCGTATTAAGCGATTGTCTTATCCTAGATCACGTGACAAATATGGCAACGAAGTTAAATTTCCTGCTTTTATAATTTTAGTATTAAATGTCGAATCAAAGCATTATTTTAGTCTTTTGTTCAAATTTTCTGAGTACGAAAGATGTATGAATATACAAGGAAAAACATGTGAAGGTGAGTTTACTAACATTTGAAGGTGGATGGTAAAATTTATGTTTTTAGTGGTCGTCAAATTTCTTTTATGTACAAAAATTCTTGTTCACGTTGTTGCTCAAAATTAGGTCTTTCAGGTCAGTTCTCTAAAATATTATTAACTTACCTGTGATTTATTTTCCCACCTGATTATCGATTGCTTTGAGATTTATAATTTTTGCTCAGATGTTTCTGTTCTTATATAAATACAAATAAAAGTCTCTTTGTTGTCCCAAGTGGAAGAAGATAAATCTATTCAGCCAACTTGCATGAAGTATTATTCATGAAGTATGTTCATTCTTTGGTATTCGTCATTTCTCGTGACTTTTAAACCCTACTTTATTTGTTAACTATGATATCTATAAGTATAACAGTTTCTTAAATCATTTCCTTAAGTATATATTGTCAAATCAAGTCGCCCTTTATCATGGTGACTTATTACGCAAAGACTGGTTCAAACTTTTATTCATTTTTGAAAGACACATTTTTGTTGACGTCTGGTTCGGTTTTTCAAAATTATGTTGACTCCAATTCACTCTGCACCACTAATCATTACTATTGCATTAAATTTAAACCTGCGGTCCGCTATTTCTCAATAACGTAATTTGGACGAATATATTTGAGAATATTATAAAAAGGCCAATTTTGCAAGTACTATATCTAATATACTTAATGGTAGACAACAGTTCATGATTTTGCCATGGAAATTGGTGCTCAATTGATGCAATGTCAATATTGTTAATGACTTCAAACCTTCATCAATGCATCAAATTTTTAATTAATTAATTAATTAATATACATCTTCATTTTGAGTGTATGGTTATAACAAAAACTTTATAATCATACCAATTCAAGTATGTTTATAAAAATAAACCTACCTGGGTTAAAAGTGGTGACGTATCGAAACCATGTGTCCTTCATAATTATCTGGTTAATCCATCTTATTTATTCGATATCCAATGATAACTTTACGTTACTATCTAGGCTACGTCATGTCATGTCCTGCAGCAGATTGGCTATTACCTGCCCAAGGTTGTAACTTATATAAACCAATCAAAGCTGGGATTCCCCCTGGTATTCTAAATAGGATAAAACTTTGCTCAAGTTTTTTAAATGTTCCTGGTATATACAATAGTATAAGGCCAGATGATATCAATTTTATGTTTATTATCAACATGCATCTTTTGTTTGCTGCTTTATAAGTAATTTATGTAATAGAGTGCAGTCGTACAGTGTAACGTGTAAGGAATTAAGATGAAAAATATGTTAGGGCTCTCACCAGGCTTTTAGACTGTGGCACAACACCACACTCTATTTTAGCTCCCTCCACAACCTGTTGGCAAATCATGATTGCTTCCACAGTCAACTTGACTGAATACACAAAAAACAACTCATGAAAAGGATAAAATATAACACACATGTAAAAATTGAACAGTTTTGCTGAAGATGTTTTCACCAGGCCACATCCTAAATATTTCCCGGTGAGAGCCCTGTTTCCTGATGGAATCACACTCATTGTCTGTCTTTTCATGATTACATGTTTCTTTATGCCAAAATTGCAAGCAGTCGGGTGCATTTTACAAATTGAAGTTCTAATTTTACATGGGACCTGTAAGCTTGTCTTCTCAGATTTGCTTTCAAAAGACTTTCTCGAAAGTCCATGCTTTGGTGTTACATTGATATGAATATGGCTCAGTCTACAAAATTTCATGCGTTATATTTCTTTTATATGCTTACGTATTTCTAGAAATTATTAAATTTTCTATATCATTCATTTACATGCAACATGTGTCTTGAAATGTTTCTTGACATGGCTAGAACCAGTAATAAAGTGTTTATATCCCTCAAAATAGTTTCTGTTAATCAAGTTTTTCTTCATTGTTTTTTCAGTCACTCACTGAATTTGTAAACAAAGAATCAAAGCCCATTGGCCTATATTGAATCCAAATCAACAATGATATTCTGAGCAACAGTGTTTTCATAGTAGGATTTCCCAACTCAGGGTTCTCACAGTAAAAATCAATGTTACACATGGCATTAACTTCATTCAGGCTTGAACTATGCTAAGATATCAATGAATTTATTTCGTCAAAGATTTTAGCCAATTACTAATGGATTTTTTGTTTTTTCACATGACAGGCCTATAAAGAGACGTTAGCAACCAACACTAGTTACTTGACAGCAACACTGTGGATGATTCATCACTGAGCACTTTCATATGGAACTAAAACCAAGCACATATTGATAATCGACTAGTATCAGGTAAAACACAATACAATTACATAATTAACCTGTTGTTATATAAGACATATGATTCATACTTATTATTCAAATAAACTATTTTTATTCATACTTAGTAGGTTTAATAATTGACTTATGTGAATTTATTCTTATTATCTTTAGCATAAATAATTAAAGATATCACAGAATGTCATAGATTAGTTTTATTATCATGATAAACTGCAAAAACAAAATTTATTGATGTTAGTATTTGACAACGATTGATTCATTTCTATTTTTTGCCTTTCATGAATTTTCAACTATTTTATGGTATAATTATCAACTTGATTAATATGATTCCAAAAATAATTTGTTCTTTTCCGAGGTTAAGTATGAGAGAACCTTTCTTGGCTTACTCTATTGATCAGATAATTTTTTCTGAATCATTTCCTATAGATTATTATAATTGTCTGTTATTATAATTAGCAAAGTCTGAGTCAGACTTGTGCAAGGTAATACTGAAAAGTAATAATAGTCAAGGGATAAGTCTCTAAAATATCCCAATTTTTTAATTTGCATTAACAGTTTGCAATCTACATTATCAAAGGAATTTGAACTATAACTCATTCTTTCCTGGATATATCTAGAGTCTAGACTCCTAAAATTGGCCACCTCGTAAACTAGTACACATATGCAAGCTTATAAAATTCGCTTATAAAATCTTCAATGAACATTTGAGATGAGACCGGCCCTTAGCCAGAATGTTCCAAGGAGGGGTTCACCCCCCAAAAAATTCTAGGGGGGTTCACTTTGGCAAATTTGGCCAAAAATCACACAAAAAATGGTCAGAATGTTAAAAAACTGCATCATTTTGAAAGAAATTTTGCCCCCCCCCCCCCCTCTGGCTATAGGCTTGGTGAGAAGTTAATATTTTGAGATGCTAATACATTGAATTAGAAATTCAGACTTTTTTAAAGTGCTATACATGTATATATATATTATCATTGTTTTGTAGCATTTTTTGTGATCTACATTAATTTGGTGAACTTGCATTTACCATTGGTATTTCCCCAGTTAACATTCCATCAAAAAACTGATGGTAGGAGCTCCGTGATTTCATCAACCGTCTGGACCCCTTGAGGGTGCCACATATATCTTGTGATCAAAATTTCAGTTTAACTACTCAGCTTGGAATTTTTCACAGATGAAAGAGCAGAATACTGCGAAGATCTGATAAAATTTTATGCTTGACAGCCATTTTAGATTTTTTAATAAAAAAATCTGAAAAATTTTCACTACTTTTAGTTTAAGAGGGGTGGAATGGGGTCTGTAATCCAAATCCAAACACTGCTGATCGATTTTTGAAAGAAATCCAGATACTTTAGTCAATTTCGTAAATACACAAAACTGTTTTTTTATCTACATAATAGTTTTCTACTGATCCAGATAATTGAGTTAATTTTGTAAAAAATGTTCAACAAGAAATCTAGATGATTTAGTGATTTTTATATTTACTTCTAGAGGTGAATGATAACAGAGTGTTGATACACTAAAAAGAGAGAGATCATGGCAGAGGCTAAAGATGTTCAAGAACAACAAGGTGAATATAGTTTATCCTGAAAGTTTAATTAACTTGTTGAGTGTTCAACAGTTGAGGGGTTTTAAGATCACTCTAATAACATGGATTGTGATCCATATGAAATGTCTATGTTTCATATTCAGGTTGTTATTTGCTTAACAAAATAAATTGAAAGTTACATATTCAAAAATTAGAAACTCTGAATTGCCATTGTAATTGTATGTTTTTTTCAGTTCTTAAATTAATGCTTAGTTTTTAAATAGGACTGTGTTTACATGTTAAATGTGTTTGATTTCCTTCTGGAATTAGATCAGAATTAAATCATAATAAAAACATTCTAATTCTACATTTCAGCCTGTAAATCATCTATATCTGTAAATTATTAAGTCAAAAAAGTAGTATTTGAATGATTAAACTATATTTTCAAATTTTACACAGGGCCTTTAATTCATTCAGTTCATTTCCTGACAAGTACAAAAGTACAAAATGATATCTAACCCTTGTAAAGAGACTTTATGAACAATAATATCTGATTTACTTTGAATTATTTGTGATTCCATTTTCAGACAAATTTCTGCTCAAAATTGGTCATCAATTAGGTAAGGATCTGAATCTTCTTGGCATCCATTTAGGCTTCACCAATGCTGAGATTGACAACATCAAACAAAGTAATCCCCATGATGCAAAGCAATGGGGATATGATCTATTACAACAATGGACTCGGAGACAACCAAACCAAATGCAATTGCTAGCTGAAGCTCTGAGGGACGTTGATAGGATAGATCTTGCTGAAGAGGTGGAAAAATATGAAGCAAGTCACACTACTCCAAAAGCATCTCCAGGTAAAACTTGACAAATTAAAATAACTAGAATGGTGTAGATTCTGTAGTGTTTCCATTTATGAAGATAAGCCTGATCAATTAGATTGTGGGTACTTTGAACAAAAATCTTGCCATCGGTTTTCTTGGAATATTATTCGGTGAATAATCCATTTGAATGGATGTTTTGCATTAAAGCTTCGTTTAATGTGACTTCAACTGGGTGCCAGCATTCAGAATTAATTGTTCAGCTTTTGTATTAGTTTATATGTTCGGGTTGAACTTTCTATTGTGTACACAAATAAATTCATGTTTAAGGCTTCAAGACAATCTTAGCAATATAGTTCCAAGGCAGTTCCTAGGGTGACACCCCTTAGATCGAGTATCTCAATCACTTGGTTTAGAGATATTGTCTAGAAAATTTCACAATGGTTCTGACAAAGGTTCTTACATGTTTTTCAGTTAAAATTGGCCAGGGCAAGGGAAGAAAGTCTGGCGAAAATGATATGACATGCCAGATACGTGTAGTAACAATGGATGTCAGTTGTGATATACATGCTCAGAAGATGTCTGAAAAACACGAAGACTATGATTTTCAAAAGCGCTTCAAGAAACAATTTCAAGCTATTGAATCATTGAAACCAGATGTGGTAAATCTTCAAGAGATTCGCTATAAAAAAAATTTAGACTTGATTAAAAGCTTGAAAGAGGACAATTATGTGGTGCATCATTTTAAAAACAATGACTCTGATATGAGCTTTAATAATTGTATTTGTGTTCGTAAAAAGGGAAATTGGAAAGAAATTACATCAAAACATTATTGGACGACAATTATAGATGGCAAGCCTGCCCTTAGCGAAGACAAAAATGCACGCGTTCCTGCAATAGAAGAACAAGACATAAAGGGTGACCCACACGGACGATGTGTAGGTGTAGTACTACTACAACACAAAGAATTGCCAGATTGTAAAATTATAATCGCCACTACGCATGTTGTACCTTTTGGCAAAACTAAAGCAATACAGCAAAAAGCCAGTTTATCATTGGCTGATATGGCCTGTGACATCGCAGGTGAAGACTGCAATGTTATTATTGCAGGTGATTTTAATATTTTCAATGATGATCGCGAAAGTGGCACTTTTAGAGAAATTGAAGAATTTTCTGAGGAACATAAAATCAGAGAAATTCCTTTGAAACGATTACATATTCCGGGTCAAGATGGCCGCCCATATGAAATAGTTACAGACATAAATCAGATTGGCACTTTCACTCCTTGGACTAGTGATCCATATTCAACTGAAGTGTTTCAACAACCACTCGGTTTTTCAAAATTAGATGCCATATTTGCTTCCAATTCTCTTGAATGTAAAGATGGAGTCGATGTTAGGCCAGTTCTAATGTATAAGGGTTTGAATAATCTTGCTGATATGTCAGATGATGAGAAGGATTACGATAAATATCGATACATGTTCAAAGATAGGCTAGCCTCGGATCATTTTCTACTTTCGGCTACTTTCTTAGTAAAGTGATTGTCTTGAGTTCAAGAAAGACATAAGTGTAGTCATTCCACTGCACATTTTTATAGGAGTGGTATCGATAGGGTGAACTGAATTCAACAATGTTTTTCTCCTAAACCAATTATTTAAAACATTCTTTAAAAAAACACAATAAAAGATTTAATGTTGACTGATTGACAATTTAATGCGAAAATTATTTATATATATTTTATGTAATGTTTTTGTTATCATTTCTTGTTTTTTAGTGCAATTGTTTTTTGTTCCTCTACCAATTCTTGAGCATGAAATAAAATATCTTTCCAGACCTTGTTTGAACAAAATAGCACATACAACATTTTCTTAGACCTCTCAATATTATAGTTGTACAAAGGAAAGTTTGGTGGATTTAACAAAGAGTATTCAAAAATGAAAACAAAAACCCCCCAAAAAGATAAAAATTAAGAAAACCTTTTATTTTATTAACAAGATACTTTTTTTAATAAACCAAACTTTCCTTTGTACAATTACAATATTGAGAGACCTAAACATGTTGTGTTAATGTCATTTGTTCCAATGAGGTTTCGGATAGATGTTTCATTTTATTCTGAACATATGGTACCAAGAACAATATAGAGAAAAATATATTTTTCAGAGATTATATTGTCACCATTCAACAGATGAACATTAAATTGATGATGTGTAAAATTTTCAGAATTTTGATGACTGGTTTAAGAGAAACTTGTGTTCAAAAAGTTCACCATATCGATACCAAACTTTTAGTCAGTAATCAGTTGGCCAGTAGAATTAATGTGCATTTTGAATTTTTCATAGTTTATATTTTAACACTTTTTGGTGCCATTTACAAGGCAATTGTGCAAAATGGTGTTATGACCTCAGGAGTTCAACACCTCACTTTATTGAAGATATTTAGAATCTCCATTTACATTTTAATATTAGACCTGGTCCATAATAAATTGGTTAATGTTGAAGTAGTAATTTTGTTGAATTGTAATTTTCTGAATTAATTAAATATTCTGTAAATATTGAAAATGAAGTATCACAATATTATTCTACATTTACATGTAATGGTACCCTTTGCATTCATTTGACTTCACTTCTTAAAAGAGAGCTTCGTCTTCACTCTTTCAAACTAAAATAGTTAGTAGTTTAACTAGACTCTGCACACAGGGTAATGTAATGGCTGACAAATTGCCAAAATATAACACATTTTATATTTTGCAGAATATAACTCATTAAATACTCAGTTTTGTAAAATATAAAATTTGCTACATTTGGAAACAGAATTTTGCATATTGTAGGGCAGGAAAATATTAAGTGTGATTTGTGGAAGGTGAGGTATTGAAACGGTTATTGTGCAAAATGATCTAATGAATGCAATATTTTAGTAATTAATTGATAAGATACATTAATATTTAGCACTCTTTTTATTTATTCAACAGGTGTGTGTATGGGGAGATGAACCATAGTTCATTTGTGTAAACATTTGTATTGCCATTAGTTAACATGGCATTGTAGATGGTGTGTACCATTCTGATACTCAGACCATCTCTGCTATGCACAAGAATTCTAGAAGGACACTGAGAGAAGGCTGTGATATCTCACGATGGGTGTGTACTATCCTTGCCCAAGTCGGTCTCTTTTATCTTGATTTCTATTATATTCAAGATCAGGATAAGTAAAAAATACTGACTTGGGCAAGGTGTGTACTGTATAGTGGCATAATGGAGTGATCTCCCAAACATTAGAGAAAATGGATGCAACACACTTTTAACATCTATCATCTCAGGCCCGTAGCCAGGGGAGAGCAGAGGCCAGAAATTCTTTCAAAATCATACAGTTTTTTACCATTCTGAGCACTTTTCGCATTATTTATTAATCAAAACTGTCTAAAAGCCCCCCCCCCTCTTGGCAAAAGCTCCTCTCATGGTAAAGCCGCTCCCCTTGGTAAAAGCTGGCTACGGGCCTGTATCTGGTGAATTGACCGATTTATCAGATTCCCTTTTAGTCAAAAGTTGTGGAACTAACAATGGTTAAAATTATGATTTCACACCCTGTTTAGAAAATACAGAGAAGATAACTGTAATGTACACAAATGCTGGAGTAAGCCTAGTGTTATATACCATTTTATGGCTAGAAAGCTCAATCTCAAGTCAAAAAAACCTACCTCAATTGTGGGAATCTCTGGCATAATTCTGTGTAGGTCTGCAAAGTTTGTTCATTCATTATATATTTATTCAATTCAAAAAGTATACAGTAGTTACAGTAGTCGCTGCCTAGCGCACTTTGCATTATAGGCTAGTATTTCAAGTTATACATAAAACAAAAATTAGGGAAGGCGAGTGAGTAAGATGTTAACGTTGTACACCTCTAGAAGTGGAACACTTTTGTTAGTGGAATACTTTTCAGAATCTCAAGACCAACTGACTTGATGTTAAATCACCCTCCCAAGTGGACCACTTTTTAAGACAAGTGGAACACTTTTTAGAGGTACCAAATGTGTTGGACTTGGACAGGTTTTTAAATAATGTACATTTTAAAGTCACAGTAAAGAAAATAATTGTGTGTGTGAATGTCTACAACTTTATGTTGTTTTCTATAACACATCTGCATCATTTTTCTCATTCTCACCCGTTTATATTTTGTATTTTTATTATTTATTTATCATCACCCTATTGTATACAGATTGGCCAAAATGCGAGAATCTGTGAGAAAGGTTGCAACAAATCTTGCCGATTTCAAAAAATGTTCTTTTTTATATTGACTCAACAAAATAAATTCTTGCATACTATTGTTCAAGAACTAAACTGTTATACTGTAATTTGTGCTACTCATGTATTGATGTTGTATTATATTATGCCTAGATGTAATTGTATTCATATTTATACACATATGGATGTGGGTTAGAATAAAACTAAAGCTTAATACAAAATCACTTTTGAGATGTTCTATTTGTAATTTTTAACTTTATTTATTTTTAATTGTTATTACCATACTGATATTATTTATTTGTTTCCTTTTGTTATTGTACCTAAAAAAGGTGCGATATTGTCGTCAACTTGGCAGGCGGGTGGCGGGCGGCGTTTCACTTTTCCCTACAGGAATTGATGCAACAAATGTTTCTGATTTCGAATGTATTGCAACCATTTTTTCGAAATATTAATTTGATGTATATATCTTAATGTCACTGAGGATCCCTGTTATGTTACGACCGTAATAAGTGACCTATTGTTATAGTTTTCAACTTTTTGTGGGCGGTGTTCGTTTGGTGATCAGCTTCTGTAACAAATGGCAGGTTGTACCTTGTTTGTTTTGTAAACATCAAAACACCACTAGGCATTAGACAATGTAGAGTTCTCATTTATTAACGGTGATTCAAATTCGGTCATCATATAGAGGTCGTGGGGGCAGATAGGTATACAGTAAGTGCGAAGAATACCCCGGAAACTGTATTGGCAACTTTTTACTGGGTACAATATTTAAGGAATAAATAATGATAGGCCATTCAATATGGTGAAATTCAGCACGAGTTGGACAGAATGTTGTACAAAGCACGAACCGAAGGTGAGTGCATTTGTACTAACATTCTGTCCAACGAGTGCTGAATTTCACCATATTGAATGGCCTATCATTATTTATTCCGATTCAAACATAAAAATTGGTAAAAGCCATGTCTGTGGAACGGGCATGAACACGAGGGGAAAGAGTACCCGTGTATATACAACCTACCGCCGAGCAAAGACCCGAAGATGTCTGAAAATGTAGGGGGTGAGTTATAAACTTTTGTTTATATCTTGAATTTCTCAATATGAGAAACAGATAAAACACAGAATTGTGTGTAACTGATAAAGTTATTGTTCCAGGCACTCATGTTTGCAAAATAATGAGTACTTAGCGCAATATTTACTATCCAATCGCTAAATTCCACTTTTAAATATTTGAATGATGATTTACATCTTGAATAAGTAACAACCATGGCTGTCTTTACTTCATTCGATTCAAAGATACAATAGGTGTAAATGTATCATATTTATTTCACTGCCATACGTTGCATATCATTGAAATCACCGGTGAAAGTTGAAAATGAAAGACCCGATTATGTCACGAGTACGATTATATAGGACCCGAAGCTACCACCGAGCTATTCCGACTATACCGCGAGTAGAACCCGATGAGGTAGTGAGTAAGCTTTTGAATGAGCATATAATATCATGACGATATCACAAATATTCCTTTTTATTTATCATATACTCCTGGCACCGGGATATAATATAATATGATATAATTCCCGCAGCACTATACGTCAACGTCTGTTTCCGGCAAAGTTCTTTAAAACATTGAATTCATGCTTACACTTGAATCACCATAATTTCCTATGTGTCTATGGTAAGAGTGCAACCCAAAAACATTTAATTCTGCATTGCAAGCGCCATTCTACTCAAAGAACACAACTTGAAGAATCCCAAGCTTCACAAGCTTCATATCCTCGAAACGAAAATTACCGTGATCTTTCTTTGATAATACAATACCATAGTCAAAACATTGTAAATCCATTTTTTGCCATTTAACTCAGGCACATTAACTTTAATACTCAGTAACGGACAGGGGATGGTACTGACTGAAGTGGACCACAAAGTCATCCATCTCATGTGATTTATAACTACAGTGGAAGCATTTGTACCGAGGACCTGAAATACAATGTTTCGATGTGCAGTGGTAACTGGTGATAGCCATATTTTTTTCAGTTTCATTTATTGGTCACAACAAAATGATTCACATGAATGATGCAGATTGTATGTTTATTATTTTTTCATCAGCACGTCATAAACTCGACGATATAATCGGATCTCAACAGATTTTACTCAAGTAATGTTCGGATTCTGAGATCCTTTACTCAAGATATTTTCGGATCTTTATAATATTACTCGTCGATCACATCGGGTCCGATGTCCGATAACCTCGGATCTTTTAGGACAAAGTTTAAGTGAAGATTTTGCTGTTCAAAAGTGCTATTTTGACCTAATATTTTGACACTTAATATGTTATGCATATGCACATCCATTTACCGACCCAAGTATGTCTTATGTATGGCTCATTATCAATTAAAGCGAGTATGAATGAGAAAAACAAATCGAAAACCATTATACGTTTACCTTATCT